CCTCTACCTCCTCGCCATGGAAAGCCCCCGTCTGCGCAAGGCCGTGGTGCCCATTGCCGGGCTCGGGACGCGTATGTTCCCCTTTACCGGTGCTGTGGCCAAGGCCTTCCTTCCCTTGGTCGACGCCCGTCGTGGTCATGTCGTTCCCTTCCTCCACGCCCTTCTCCTCGCCATTCTCAATGATCCGCTCTCGTCCATCGATCAGGTCGCCATTGTCCTCTCGCCGGCTCAGCGGCCGATGATTGAATCCTACTTTGCCGGTGATGCTGAGGCTCTGTGGGCGCCTTATGCGGCAAAGTCGGAGGCTCATGCCGCCGCCGTGGCAGAGCTCGCCGTCATCGGCTCCAAGATGGTCCTCATCGATCAGCCCGTCCCGCGCGGCTTTGGCGATGCTGTCCTGGCCGCCGCCGACTTTGTCGCCCCGGACGAGTACTTTCTGCTCTGTCTCGGCGACCACTTTTACACTTCAAGCTCCTCCACGTCGTGCCTCGCCCAGCTCCTTGCCGCCTTTGCCGCTGCCCCGGGCCCGATGACCTCGGTCGGCCTCACCCCGCTCCGCACAGCTCCTGTGTCAGGCGTCCTTGTTGCTGCTCCGGACGCAGTCCTTGATGCTACTCGCGCCTTTGATCTGGCCGACATGCTCGAGAAGCCCTCGGTCGAGCTGGCCGCCTCCTGCGCCGCCATCCCGGACTCGCTCGCCATCTCGCCGCCGCCAGCCGAGTTGAGCATTCTTTGCAACTTTGGCATGGACATTCTGCCGGTAGACGTCTTTGACAAGCTCGCCCGTCAGGGCCAGACTGCGTCCGGTGAGTGCGAGCTCCGGGTTGGCCAGCTCGACATCCTGCGCGAGCGCGGAACCCGCGGCGTGCTCATCGCCGGTGACCGCCACGACACCGGTCTTCCTCACGACTACGCTGCCTCGTTTGTCGCCGGCTACCTCGCCTCGGCGCGCACTCTGCTCTTCAGTGACTCGTCCGGCCCGCCACCTGAGCTTGTCGCTGCCGCCGCCGCCCTCGCGCCTTGGACGCCTACCGCCGCCTCCGGCTGGGCGCCCGGCCGCATCGACGTCATGGGCGGCATTGCCGACTACTCGGGTTCACTTGTGCTCCAGCTGCCGACGCCCGACCGCGGCAACCTCGCGTTTGTGGCCCGCAGTCCTACCGACACCGGCTGCGAGCCTCATCTCTGTGCCTCATCGACCTGCGCCGAGCCAGCATCGTTTGCCCTCCCGATTGCAAGCCTGGTCGAGTGCGCCTCGCCCTCTGACGTCCGCAGCGCACTCGCCGCTGCCGCCGCACCACGTTGGGCCATGTATGCGCTCGGCGTCGTCGGCCTCCTCCACGCCGAGTCGTGGATCGATCTCGGCGCTGAGCCGGGCGCAGACCTGCTGCTGGCCATCGCATCGAACCTGCCACAGGGGAAGGGCCTGGCGTCGTCGGCCTCGGTCGAGGTTGCGGTTGCCAAGGCCTGCGTCGCCGCCTTTGGCGCCGCCCTCGACGACAAGGCCCTCGCCCTCCTGTGCCAGCGAGTCGAGAACTTTGTCGTCGGCGCCCCGTGTGGCATCATGGACCAGCTTGCCTGCGCGCTTGGCGCGCCCGGAGCGCTCCTCGCCATCGTCTGCCGGCCGGCCCAAATTGACGGCCTCGTTGCTATCCCGCCCGGCCTCACCGTCATCGACGTCGACTCGGGCGCATCCCACGAGCTCGCCGACTCCGGCTCGGCCTATACCGTCGTTCGCGCCGCCGCGTTCATCGGCGCCAAGCTCCTCGGCGTCTCCTGTCTCACCGCCGATGTCACCGTTGCGCAGCTTGACGCTCTTCTGCCGACCCTCCCCGAGACTCTCGAAGCCGACGGCTTTGTCGCCCGCTTTGGCAGCCTCGACGCGCACCTCGACGCCGGCGTCACCCCACTCGAGGCCGGCGTCGCCTATCCGGTCCGAGCCTCGGTCGCCCATGCCGTCCGCGAGCACCAGCGGGTTCGCCTCTTCCGGCAGCTGCTGGCGACTCCTGTCCCGGCCGCCGAGACTAAGGCGCTGCTCGGCGAGCTCATGCTCGCCTCGCACGCCTCCTACACCCGCCTCGGCCTCGGCAGCGCTGCCACCGACGCCATCGTCACCCGCGCCGTCGCGCTCCCCGGCGTTTGGGGCGCAAAAGTCACCGGCGGCGGCGGCGGAGGTGTGGTCGCTATCCTCTGCGACGATCATGCCGTCGAGCTTGTCCGCTCTTCGTTTTCCTAAACAAGAACACTCCTTGCGTATCTCTCATCTTTCGCTGCGAAGCTGTTGTCGCTGCCAAGCTGCTGTCGCTGCGAAGCTGCTGTCGCTGCGAAGCTGTTGTGACGTTTGCATGCGCTTTGAGCTGCAAGTCAAAAATTTCGGGCAAACCGTTGGGCGGGCAATCATTCCGAGTACGAACAAAGTAATAATACCTTTCCCCCCCTCTCCCCAACCTTGTTGCCTTCTCACCACCATGGCCGGTACGTTATCCACCCACCCACACGTATGGTCTTTGCCAGTGCGGCACCAAGTACATGATACGAAAGAGCACGGTATCAACTATCCGTTCATGTCATCAATTTCCATCGCCCATCCCACCACCGTTCTCCATCCCCCACGGAAAGTGGCAACCGATCGAGTGGTGGAGGGATGGCAGTCAGCCGCTGCCACCGGTGCGCCTCCTCCCGCACCGCATACTCATGCCATCTGACGTGTGCCACTACAGATAACAGCACTTCGATCGAGATGCTCGAGCTCTCGGGCCTCCGCGCGCTTGTGACGGGCGGCGCCGGCTTTATTGGCTCGCACCTGGTCGACGCATGTCTCGCCGCCGGCATGACCGTCCGCGTCCTCGACTGCCTCATGGAGGCCTCGCATGGTGCTGGTGCCGATTGGCCCGAGTACCTGCCGGAGAGCGTGGAGAAGATGTACGGCTCGGTGGCGGTGCGCGAGGATGTGTTCAAGGCGCTGACCAACATCGACGTTGTCTTCCACATGAGCTCCATCGGCGGCCTTGTTGAGGGCTCCGTCTTTATGCACGAGAACGCGACGGGCATGGCACTTATGTTTGACGTCATTGCCCAGCACAAGCTTCCCATCAAGAAGATCGTTGTCGCCTCCTCGCAGGGCATCTACGGTGAGGGCCGCTACGCCTCGCCCGACGGCACCGAGTTCTCGCTCGCCGGCACCGGCGAAGTCGGCATGCGCAAGGAGGCCGATCTCGACAACGGCATGTGGGAGGTCCGCTGTCCGAAGACCGGCGAGCCGACAACGGGCGCGTGTGTGCCCGAGTGCCAGACGCCGATGCCGGCGAGCCCGTACGCCATCTCCAAGATGGCTGTCGAGCAGCTGGCCCTCGTCATGGGCCGCGCCCAGGGCATCCCCACCGTTGCGCTCCGCTTCGGCCTCACCTACGGCCCGCGGCAGTCGGTCAAGAACGCGTACTCGGGCATCGTCTCCATCTTCTCCACCATGATCCTCAACGGCAAGAACCCGATCATCTACGAGGACGGCCTGCAGACCCGCGACTTTACCTTTGTCGCTGACAACGTCGCCGCCCAGCTGCTGGTCATGCGCGACCCGCGCGCCAACTACCAGGTCTTTAACGTCTCCACCGGCGTCGCCACCACCCTCAACGAGGTTGTCGAGATCCTCGCCAACGAGTACGGCCGCCCTGAACTGACCGGCTCCCGCCCGGGCAAGTACCGCCTCATCGACGCCCGCCACCTCGTCCTCGACTCATCGCGCCTCCGCGCCCTCGGCTGGGCCCCGCAGTACACCGCCGCCATGGGCCTCAAGGCCCAGGCCACTTGGATCAAGACCCTGGGCGAGGTCAAGGACTACTTCTCCGACACAATGACCAAGCAGGAGGGTGCCTCGTTTGTCCGCGGCTCCAAGGCGTAGCCCGCTGATCATGGCTTCCTCGTTTTGTACCAATACACATACTCACGCTGCCGCGCGCTTTATCCCTCCAAAATTCCAGCCTGCCATCCGCCGACGTGCGCTTACGCAATCGAGACGCTCGGCACGTCCTGGAGCCACGATGAAATGAGCTCAAACTCCTGCTTGCGGGCGTCGATGACCGACTGCGGGTCGGCCGGATCCGACCACCGCAGGTCGAGGTGGTGAGCGCCGTGCTCGATGACAATGGCCACGACCGAGTCCGAGACTGTCTTGGTCACGCCGCCGCTGATCCACGGGTCCAGGACGCCATTGGAGAGGATGATGTTCGACGCGGCCTCGAGGTTGTTCGAGCCGTAGTACGTCTGAGCCCAGTACGGGCGTGGCATGACGCCAAACTGCTGCATGCAAGCCTCCTCGTATGCCGTCAGGTTGAACGGCGCCGGCCAGAACATGTCCGTCGTCCCGGTCTGGGTGATGGGGAACACCATCTCGGTGCAAGCCTGAAAGTCCCACGGAGTCATGTTGCCGAGGTTCGGCGAGAGCTGCGCGTAAATGTCAAAGCACTCGGCGTCGCCGGTCCCGTTCCAGTACACTCCGGCAGCGAGGCCAAAGGCGGCGATCCGCTCGGCATCGGTCGGCTGCGTCGGCAGAGCCGTCGCGTACTTGCACGACACGTTCACCGGGTTGCCGGGCATCGGCCGCAGAAAGTCCGACGGCGCCGGGTAGTCGAGCATCGACATGTACGCAAACGCAGAGTTGCTCCACTCGAACACCTGGTCGACGTCGGCCTGGCTCTCCACAGGCTTGCACGTCCGCAGCGCATCGCCAATTGCCCGCCGCCCGCTCGCCGTCGTCCGCATCTCAGGCAGCACGTTGTTGTACACCTGCCGGATGTTGTCCGCGCACCCAGGCGCAGCATCGGCAAAGTCACGCGTGATGACCGCGTTGTACGCTGTCGGATCCACAAGGCCCTCAAACTCCAGAATCGGCGCAGACGCCGCCAGCGAGCCCTTGACCAGCGCAGGGTACTTGACCCGAATCCATGCCGCGAGCATCCCGCCGTACGAGCCGCCAAAGGCAATGACCTCGGACTTGTCCAGGCCCTTGTACTCACCCAGAAGCTTGCCCTGCTGGATCTGCACCAGCAGATGCGCATAGTCCGCGAGGGCCTGCTCCGACGAGCACAGCCGGATGTTCTCGGGCGTGAACGAGTCGGCGCCAAACGGGAGCGTCTCGCCATAGTACCGATGCTCGATGAAGAGGACAAAGGCCCCGAGCCGCTCGGCAAACTCAAAGATGAGCCCGGTGTTGTTGTAGAACGAGACAATGTCGCCCTCGTTGCCCGTGTAGAGGAAAATCGGGCCGCCCGTCCGCTCGTCGTAGTACTTGTCCGTGAAGATCATCCGCTGCTTGAACGTCGTCGCTCCGTCGGCGCCACGGGTGGTAAAGTCAAAGTGGTCCAGCTCCTGCGTCACCCACTGGGTGGTGTACGCCGGCGACGCACCCTCGCTGCCCACCGCCACATACACCACAGCCACCGCCAACATTGCTGCATACGTCATACTCCTCACCATGATGATTGGCGAGTCAAGTCTGCCCTGCCCTGCCCTCCCTCCCTCCCTCCCTCCCTCCCTCCCTCCCTCCCTCCCTCCCTGTCCATACCACGGCACTCGTTTTGCTTTGCTACACACGCCACCTACCTCTCGGCCACATTGCGCTCGACGACTACGAGACAGGGATCTGGGTCGGCCACGGCCTCGATTGACGAGTTGCCTGTGGGATCGTCGAGGATAACGGTGAACGGGAGCTCGTCCTCACCGGCGATGCACGCGTCGAGCCGTGCCAGGAACGCCGCCCATGGAGCAGCATCGTCGCTGCTACGCGAGGCAGCGCCCAGCTGTTGGCGCACGTCAGCGAGCAGACCCTCGACCGTCGTCACCTTGCCGCCCAGCGTTCCTGGCTTCAGCCGGAGGCCGAGCTCGGGCACCTCGATCCCTGCTGTCTCGGTCTTGATCACTTGGCGGCCGAGATCGCTGCGCTCGTTGACGGTGAGCGTGTGCGTTCGGCCGCACCTGCTCGGCGTCGCCGTCGTTCGAACGTCGTTGGTCTTGTACCCGCAGCCCTCGCAGACAAAGCCCGAGACTGTGGTCTCGTTAAAGTGCGGAACCTGCATCACAATCGTTCGCACTGTTCCGGGCATCGAGCACATCCCGCACTCGACCGCCATGCTCACCACCTCCTCTGCCACCACCGCCAGCTCGTCCTCAATCTCGCTGTTTGGCCCAATGTACGACGCTCCCGACGGATCGTGAATTGTCAGCGTGAACGCCATGGCCCCGCGTAGACACGCTTCGAGCTGGTCCACAATCTCGTCGATCCGAGCCGCGGCCTCGGGCTCCTGGATCCGCCGCACCGGCTGCATCGCACTCAGCCCAACACACGCACGTCGCAGCAGCCTCTCCACCGTCGTTAGCTCGGCTTGTCCTGCCGCTGGCGCCCGGAACCCAATCTCCGGCACCTCCCAGCTCGCCGTCGCCGATCGAACCACTTCCCGACCCAAGTCGGCGCTTCCCGCCATCACCTCGGACATCGCCGCCTCGACGGCCCCTTCCCGCAAATGGCACACATCAGACATAACCACAGTGGCCTCTGCCGAGCACTCGTCACATTCAAAGACCACAACATCCAGACCTGCCGCCCACCAGCTGTGAGTTGCTTCGATGGCTTGCCCCATGCAGCGAGCGCAGCCGCTGCTTGCACCACACCTTTACACGCTCGCCACAGGCAGCAACGTACAGCCGAGTCCCGACACGTCGACGCTCTCCGCACGTCCCGACCCCACTGCTCCACAGTCTGCGCACTCGACCGGCACGTGTCTTGTGCTCGTCCCACCCCCGCCCTCGGTGTCTGTCATGTCGAGGTGACCGAGCGACGAGTGCTGCGCGTCGCGAGCTGCACTCACCCACGCCGCTTCCGCATGCCGCGCACTCGCTTGCCAGCGGGCGAGTCATCATCTTCACGCCGCCGCTTCCGCTTCGTCTTGGGCTTGTTTCGGCCCTTGGCCGCGGCCTTGGACTTGGATGTCTGCTTGCCACGCAGTCGCTTGGCCGCCAGCAACTCCTGTCGTGACTGGCCGACCGGGAGTGCGGCCATGGCCATCGTGAGCGCCGCGGCGTCATCGGCACGGGTCGAGACCCAGAACTCGTCGGATCCGAGGTCGGAGACTGTGCGCCCGGGCGTAAAGGTGACTTGCTCCACACGCGCCGGCACCGGCGACTGCGGCCCATCGTCCTCCGAGCTGGACCCTGGGACGCATGCTTGCGTCGGCGGGGCCTTGGAACTCGGCTGGACTGACACAGGTGTCATCGTTGGCCGTGGTAGCGCCATCCGCGGCGTGCTGGGCGTCAGCGGCCCGTACTGTAGCACTCTCAGCCGGTTCGGCCGTGAGAGCGTCAGATGCGGCCGGGCTGCCTCAGCGGCATGCCCGGCGAGCCTCACCGGCGTCGTCTCTGGTCCGATACCGTCGTTGCTGTCCTCATCATCGTTGGAGACCGATGGAAGGCACACTGGCGGCGCTGGTTGCACCGTCGGTTTGGGCGCAGATAGTCGCGGTGGCGCAGGTGTCGGCGCGCCGCCGGCGTTGGATCCTGCGTCGGAATCCGAGTCAGACGCCAGCACGCACAGGCTGCCGCCATTGTCTACTCGGCTCGTACCCACCGTCGGCCGCACTCGCGTCAACATTCGCCACATCGAGCCCGGTGTCGAGATCGAGACGTTGAGCGCTGCTGGCCCCTCGCTCCTCTCGGCTCCAGCTCCACATTCGCTCGACGACGACGAGCCCTCCAGCTTTCGCAGAAACGAGGCGTTGATAGCCGCTGATGATGACGAAGACACCGAGTCTGCCACCGACACCGTCGACTCCTCACCAGAGCCCGACTCGGTCTCGGGCACCAGGACCTGCGAGAGGCCCGGTGACCTGACCGGCGAGCTGGAGGCCACCGGCGAGTCTTCCACCACCCAGTTGTTGAACGACGGCGACCGGCCGATCCGCACTGGTGACGAGGCTTGTGGCCGAGGCGATGCCGACGCACGCGACCGTGGCGAGAGCGAAGCCTGCTGCGAGTGCGATGGCGACGAGTGCGGCGAGTTGGAAGCTTGCGATGAAAAGGAAAAGACTCTGGCCAGCGCCGACGGCGTCCGCTTGAGCGCCGGCGGTGTGATGACGATGGGCAGATCCATGGGCGAGTCCAAATACGACACTTGCTGCTTCTGTTTCTCTTCCATCGCCCGACTCGAGCCACGCCGCATGGAGCCATGTCGGCGCGAGGATGTGGCGACTCGGCTGCTCCTCGCTGAGCCATTCGCTCCCCGCGGCGTCGTTGGCGCGCGGGCACCACCAGGCACAAGCCGGACCCGTGTCTGCCTAGCCTTTCGCGTTGTCCGTGGCATGCTCTCTGCCCTCTGCCTCGTACACGCAGCGAGCAGTGTTCCCTCTTCTCCCACCCTCCCTCCCTCCCTCCTCCCCCCCCCCCCCCCCCCCCCCACCCCCCACCCCACCCGCGTCACACCAGCTGCTACGCAACACCAAGCTACCGAACCCTACCTACCACTTCTTCCAATGTCTTCCTTTAACATGTCCACGCTCTTGCCGCTTGCGTCGAAAAGCCGGCATATACCGCCGAGACGCGGCGCACGGCGGAGTCCAGAAAGGGTCGTGGTTTGGTGACTAAACCTCACGACGAGGCCGACGGGACCGAGTGGCCGATGGCATCGGCGGCGAGGTCTTTGCGGATCTTGGTGAGGATGGTGTCGGCGCCGTCGGCGAGGAGGGCGTCGGCGACAGCGACGCCAAAGGCGCGGGCAGCGTCGAGGACCCGGGCGTAGGCGCCGTCGTCAGCGGCGTCGTCGAGCGAGGCGCCGCCGAGTGCGTCGGTGAGCGAGACCGAGTCGTTGACGGCGACCATGTCGGCGCCATCGAGCGAGATGACTCGGGCGGTGATGGCGAGCTCGTTGGTGGCGGTGTTGAGGGTGGCCAGCGCACCGACCGGGAGCTTGCATCCGCCCTCGAGGTGGTGGAGGAGTGCACGCTCAGTGACGACCGCGACCTCGGTCGGGCGGTGGTTGATGGCGGCGCGGACCTGTGCGGCGGCGTCGGTGTCTGCGGAGCGGACCTCGATGCCGTACGCGGCCTGACCGACGGCCGGGAGGCAGAGCTCGTGGTCGAGGACGAGGTCAATGCGCCCGTCGAGCGAGACCCGGTTGAGGCCGGCGACCGCGAGAATGATGGCGGCGTACGGCGGGTCGCGCGTTGGCGTGTCGAGCTTGGTCAGCCGGGTGTGGATGTTGCCGCGGATCGAGTCAAAGACCAGGCCCGGGTACGCCCGCTTCAGCTGGGCAATCCGCCGCAGCGAGCTCGTGCCCACCACCGAACCGGCAGGGAGGTCGGCGAGCGACGTCGGGCGCGGGACAATGGCCCGCGAGAAGACGACGCAGTCCGACGGGCACGATCGCTCCGAGTAGGCGACCAGCTCGAGGCCGGCCGGCAGCTTGGTCGGCACGTCCTTGAGCGAGTGAACGAGGACGTCGACCGCCGAGTCGAGAAGCGCAGCCTCGAGCTCCTTGGTGAAAATGCCCTGCTCGCCAAACGAGGCCAGGTGGCGCGACTGGTCGAGGTCGCCGAGCGTCTCGCGTCGGACAACCGAAAAGGCGCCGAGCGGACGGGCGGCACGGAGCTTGCCCAGGATCTCACGGGTTTGCGCCAGCGCGAGCAGCGACGAGCGGGTCCCGATCCGCAGTGTCCGCTGGGTGTGGTCGTACGCATGCACCGCGTCCACAAAGACCTTGACCTTGGCCGGGTCCATGTCCGGGTAAATGCCGTGCCCGAGGTTGCAGATGTACCCGGTCGGGCCAAAGGCTGAGAGCATGGTCCCGACAGCGGCCACTAGGTCCTCGTCCGATGCGTAGAGGTAGCACGGGTCGATGTTGCCCTGAAGCGCCACGCGTCCGCCAGTCTGCGTCCGCGCATACTCTGGGTCGATGGTCCAGTCGATGGAGAGCACGTCGTAGAACGAGTACGAGAGGTCGTGGAGCGCCCAGTGCGCGCCGCGCGCAAAGGCCGTCATCGGCACCGCCGCGGCGCCGAGCGCGCTCTTGACCCGGGTCGCAATCTGGGTCAGGTACGGCAGACCAAACTCGTCGTACAGCTCGCGGGTGAGTGCGCCGGCATTCGAGTCAAAGACCTGCAGCAGCTGCGCGCCAGCCTTGGCCTGCTCAACCAGATGCGCCACGACAACGTCGGTGATTGCCTGCAGCAGCTGGTGTGACGCAGCCTTGTGGATGTACAGCCACTTCTTGGCCTTGGAGTGGGTCTTCGACCCACCGCCCTCGATCATGTACGCCATCAGCGTCCACGGTGCACCAACAAACCCGATGAGCGGCACGGCGCCGCCGATGTTGGTCCGCGTCAGCGCAATGGCCTCGTACACATACGACAGCACGCTCGCCACATCCGGCTTGAACTCGAGCCGGCTCTGCATGTCCTCAGGACTCTCCAGCGGAGCTGGGAACACAGGGCCCTTACCCTTCACCATTTGCACCTCCATGCCCATCGCCTGCGGAACCACAAGAATGTCTGAAAAGATGATCGACGCGTCGTACTCGAACCGACGCAGCGGCTGCAGCGTCACCTCGCACGCCAGCTCGGGCGTGCGGCAGATGTTGAAGAACCTGCACGTGCCGCCACCATCTCGCCACTGTGAGTCTTGCGCCCATACTGCAGCTCAGTCTCTCTATCTGATGTGGTACCCGACGTTTGGTCCGGCAAACCCCACATCCCGGCACCCATCACCGACCGGGTGAAGGCGGTGCGTCCGGCCAAGGATGGATGGGCAGCATGGGAGGGGAGGGGAGGAGAGGGAGGAGGAGGAGGGAGGCGGGGGGGGGGGGGAGGGGGGTCAAGTACATGGACACGTACCCATTGGCCTGGGAGACTGCGCGGTACTCGGGGAGGTAGCGACCAGCCTGGCGCATGATCCACACAGGCGTCCGCTCGGTCGTCTCGCCACGAGCAGCACGGAGGAGCAGGTCATTGGCCAGAGGGGGAAGGAGCCATCACCAGCAGGCGGAGTCAAGGGCGCACCCTCAGCAGTCACAGATGCAGACATAGCAGAGAGGAGGAGGAGAATGAGGGAGGGGTGATGGGAGGGGGTGGAGTGATGTGTATGGGGGGAGCGAGGGAGGGAGGTGTGTTGGGGAGCATCATTCGGGTTGCCATGGCGGTTGTTGGCAGCCGACTGTCGTCATCATTGTTGTCGTCGTCATCGTTGATCTCCATCACATCATCACGCACGGGTTGATCAAGTCTGCCTGTCATTATAGTGGTGCTGGAGAAGGGTGATGGTATGGATGATAGAAGGAGGGTTTGTCTTGGATGATCGATGGGGGAAGGGGAGGAAGGGGGGGGGGCGAGGGGGGCGGGTGTGCCCGAGCTGACCCGGTCAATGACGCGCAGTGGCAATGACGTGATGGGGACGAGTTGTGGGTAAAGGCATGAGATGGAGGCAGCGATGGTGTGATCGGGGAAGGAGAGTGGGTGGCGACATGATAGAGAGAGAGAGAGTGTGTGTGTGTGATGGGGTGGATGGGGGAGGGGATTGTGAATGAGGGCTGGGGAGGGGAGGGAGGGCGGGGAGGAGGCACCAGCTCGTGTACCCGAGCAATGGAGCAGAGTGCGGATGGCTCACCGGGCACCAGGTTCCAGGCATTAGACACGAGCATAGGCAACACTTGACGCAGACCATGGACATTGCACACAAGGTAGGTGACGGTGGGGATGAAGGCGAGCAGCAGCCGCGGGGGCTCGGCAAGCAGGGGGGAGGGGGAGCGAGGAAGGAGGCTTGCCCGCCGAAGCACTCACGCCTGGGTGTGGACGGTGGCGATGTCGATGACGACGCGTGTTTGTGGGCGGACATGTGCGTGATGGGTGATGGTGGCAATGGGCGGTGATGGTCGGCGGACGTGAGGATGTAGGTGGTGGCCGGCTCGCTCGGCGTGGCCTCGATCTATCTCACGGGATCGTTCCTCTTCAACACCTTCAACATTGTCCGCCAGTCGAAGGAGGGCCCGCCGCCGAACGCCCGGGTCAACGTCGAGGCTCAGGAGGCCGCGAACACTGCTGGCGCGTCGACAACATTGTCGAATGGATCATCGGCATCGCCGTAACAAGATCGAGTCCCTCGATCGCCGCCTCGACGATCGACCTGCCTGCACTCGCCAATCGGTTGCCGAGCTGCCCATGTACATGGTCGAATCCCGCGGCAGCCGTAGCCGTCCCTTCATGCGTGCTTCGGATTGCGTACAACTGTTGCCCGCCGTATAAAGCATGCCACCCTCATGGTCAGCTCCGCCACGGCGGTACCTGATCCCTCTGCGAGCCCGAGCACACGACAACCTGTCCCTGGCCCTAGCCCAGCCAGAGACACACTTGACTCTACACGTTTCAAGGTGGCGCGTGTCATGGCAGCCGACGGATCGTCCTCGTCCTCGGGCGTCTTCTCCATCCCTGATGAGCTCGAGGAGATGCTCGATGACATCTCCAAGAAGTCGATGGAGTTTGCCGAGGAGCTGTCCGAGAAGCTCGACACAAAGTACAACTGCTGCGGCGTCAACTTTGGCTTTGATCCCATTCTTGGTACGGGCTGTACCGACCGTAGTGAGCAAGGGGCATGCTAAGACTACGGCCCAAATGCTCTGCGAGTATGGCGAGGATTGGGTGGGGATAGCGGTCGTATGTGGCTTGGGCATGGTCAGGTGGCGTGGGAGACGAGCCGGTTTTGAGCGTTGCGAAACGCGCGCAAAGGTCGTTCAGGCCATGGAGGGGTAGGGAGTGGGGGGGATGGGCAAGGTGAGGGCACACAGACTCACTCTGGGACATGGGCTGGGGACGTGCTGGAGGAAGGCAGGTCTCATTCCGTTGGTGGGGGATGCTGTGGCTGTCTTTATTGCCGGCTCGCTCGTCCTCCGCTCGGTCGTTCTTGGCCTGCCAAAGTGCAAGCTCTTCCACATGGGCTACAACATCGGGACGGATGCCCTGCTGGGCGCGTGCCCTATTCTGGGCGATATCTTTGACGTCTCGTTCAAGGCTAATGTGAAGAACACAGAAGTGCTGCGCAAGTTCCTCGCCAAGCACGGCGGCGCGCCGAATGCCGACCAGATGGACGGGACCGAGGACCCCAAGTGCTGTCCGTGCGGATGCTGTTGAGTGGCCGAGGGCCAGAAGAGGCGCGGCTAGGCTGTTCGCGGGCGCCGGTACGGCGGCTTTGGACTCGATGATGCTGGGCTAAGGGGATAAATGCTGCGCTGTCGCGATGGTGTGTGTGTGTATGTGTGTGTGTGTGTGTGTGTGTGTATGCAGCAGAGAGCTAGAACGAGGCGCCGGCGAGGTCAGCGTCGCCGACAGAGCGGGTCTCGAGCTGCTCCATGCACTGCTCCATGAGCGAGCGGCCGGAGATGAGCTTGGTGGTGGCAACGATAAAGTCCTCGCGGCGGTCTGTGGCGGCCGAAGCGAGGAAGCGAATGGCGGCGAGCTCTGCGTAGGCGATGCCGCCGATGTAGACGACGAGTGTGACGCGCGAGCGCTGGGCGGCTTCGGAGCGCATGGCATCGGCGGGGTCTGCGCCCGGGGCGGCGGGCGGGAGGTCGTCGTGGAGCGAGATGCCCTGCGGAATCTCCTGCTGGGCCTCGAACATGGGCTCGGGGATGAGGGCGGCGACGGGGCGCGGGATGGCGGCCCAGGAGCCCGGGCGCGAGGCGAGCTCGATGAGGCGGACGGAGAGCGGGGCGTAGCCGGAGAAGACGTACGAGATGTCGTCGGGATCGGCCTCGTTGACCTCGTCGGGGAGGAGGTTGAAGTTTTTGACCAGGAGCGGGAAGCTCGACTTGCCCTCTGAGCGCTTGAAGAGGCCGAGCTTCTCGAGGTTGTGGAGGGTGAACATGTGCTCAAAGCCGTAGGCCTGGACGATTTCACGGCGAAGAAAGTCGAACATCTTAGACTTGACGCCGTTGAGGGTGAGCGAGAGGATGCAGATCAGGCGCAGGACCTTGGTCAGCGGTTCCTGCTTGTTGATGCACTCCTCGATGTAGGCGACCGTCGAGGCCGAGTCGACCGAGTTGAGCATGGCCTGCTCGGCCTCAAGCTGGCGGTGGAAGGCGTCGGCGCGGGTCACCCGCATCAGCGCCTCGGTAATGTTCGTGTGGACGGTGAGCGACTTGTGCTCCGCCTGCGCATCCTTGAACGTGCCCACGTACGCCTTGACATCAGAAATGGTCTGCACCTCGTGGCGCATGTCGTACGACTGGCGGACGCCCTCGGCCTTGGCGTGGAGGAGCGGGCCGAGAATGGCAAAGTTGTGGTCACGAATCTCGGTGTAGAGCTTGTCGTTTGAGTTGAGAGGGTGCTTGACCTGCCGACCGGTGCCCGACGGGCCGTCTGGGCCGAGCATGGCCGGATCGAGCCACACAAACGTGTTCTTGATGCCAAACTCCTCGTTGATGAGGCCCTCGTAGGTGAGCGGGGTGCAGAGCGGAGTGACGAGGTCGACTGCGCGGTCGATGAGAATGACCCGGTCGATTTCGGGCGTGATCATGTTGGCCTCGGACGACTGTGCCGCCATCCGCATCATCATGTCTGCCACAAGCTTGGCTGCCGGCCCTGCGCCCATGATGTGCGGAATGGTGCCGTACATGGCCTGGATCTTCATCAGCGACGTCGCCACCGAATACAGCGCCGTCCGGTCGCCGTCGAGGTAACACTCTCGGAACGCGCTCTCCATTTCCAGCGAGAGCACGTCGTCGTCGAGTGGAATGAGGTCCATCGCAAACTCAAACAGCGTGCAGTCGCCGAGCACGCCCTCCTCCTCCAGCACCCGCTCGCAGATAAGCGTCTTGCGCGGCGCAAAGAGCACAAAGTACTCGTGCGTGCCCTCCACCGCTCCCCGGATCTGCCTCGCAATCATCTTCATGTTCTTGAGCGTCGGCCGGGTAATGTACACCACATTGCGAGCCGCGTCACGCAGCGCACCGGCCTCGAGCTTGCGCAGGTTGGCCACGCCATGCTGCTGCAGAAACGGCACAGTCGTGACCAGGCCCAGCGGTCCCGTGAGATTCGAGTCGATCACCAGCTCCTTGTCGCCGCGGATCTGCACCATGTTGACCGCCGCGGACCAGGGCAGAAGCAAGCGGCAGCCGAGTACACGCCATGGGTGAGTCCACATGCTATACACACACCACACACACACACGCACTGCGCATGCCATCTTCCCCACCTCCACTTGCCCTGTACCCCCCCCTCCCCCCGCTCACCGTCCACACATGCGGCGGGAGCCGGTGCCCATGGCCCATGTGCGACCAAATTCCCTCACCAACCACCCCACGTCCCTCCCCTCCCCACCACCACCACCACCACCACCACCACCACCACTACCATCACCACACATACCATGTCAAGGTAGTCCATGAGCTCCTCCTTGGCATGCTCGCGGAGTGCAGCGAGGTTCACCACCGCTCCGGACAGGTTGGCAGCCATGGTAGTCGGCCGAGTGCCACGACAAGTGCTGGTGCCGTCTAGTCGCTCACGCCCACGCTCACGCTCACGCTCCCCTCTCCCCCTCTCGGCTCCTCTTGCTGCCCACCTCTGGCCAATCTCTCGCCAACCTGTCATGCCCTTCCTGATGAGGCCCCACTGCTTCCGATTGTGCCCAATTCATGCATTCTCATAGCCGATCGAGTCGAGTCAGCCGACTGTCATCGTGGGAGTCTGATGACCCGCAAAGAGCCTCTCCCCCCCTCCCTCTCTCTCTCTCTCTGTTCAAAGATCACGGGCGACAGCAGCTACACGTGGTCGTCGAGAATCGAGTGCAGCTCGGGATCAATGACGGGGCTGGCGTCTGATGACGGCTCGATCGAGTCTGAGAGCGTCTCGAGAAACTCGACGATCTCGGCGAGCGAGCGCCCGGCAAGGACGGGCGAGTCGGCGAGTGCATTGCGGAGCGTATCTGCTCGCCCTTCCTTTGTAATCTGCGCCAGCCGCGCCTCCAACTCGGTGTTCTCCACCGTCAGCTGCTCCAGCTCGTCCCTGAGCGCCTCAATGGCGTACTCCTGGCCCTCGGTCACCACGCTGCTGTTCGATCGGTGGCTCATTGTATTCGGCAGATCTGCACATCACACCGCCGCACCCATGAGTACATCCATCTCTCCCTCTCTGCCTATCGCACACTCTCCCCTCCATCCACACCATGCAGCCGTACACAGAGATGATGCCAGATACGCATCGCCCGACGCATTCATCAGCCCAACCGCGTTCTCGCGCTCGTGCTTCTCCTCCAGATACCGACCCTATTCCCACGCCCACGCCCACGCCCACACCCACATCCATGCCCATGCCCATGCCCATGCCGACACCCACGGCCACGGCCACGGCCATGCCCATCCCCCCCCCAGGCCCCACGTCACCATGCATGAGTCTGCTCCAGATCACCCACCCCTCGCCCCCACCCCCACCCCACCCCTCACCCCTCGCCCCCACCCCCCGCCCCAACCATACAATGACCGCCTCTAGGGCTGTATGCAGCTGAATAGCATCGTCCCAGTCCTCCGGCACCGCAATGCCCAGCTGGACCAGCCTCCGCTCGAGCTCGTCGGTCATGCAGAGAGTAGCGTCGCGTCGAGTCGAGTGCAGCTCCCGGCTCCCGCGCCTGCCAGAGACAGCTCACAACGCGGCCTTTGAACAGATGGGCCGCTCGCCCATCACGATCTGCTTTACCACGAAACCAACCACGGGGCTAGCGATAGTACTAGAGATTGGCATGCGAGGGCATACGCTTGCGATCACGAGCAAGGTTCTTCTTCCGCTTGCGCTTGACGTACTTGTTGAGGTTGCCGGACTTCTTGAGCTCCTCAAACTTGATGGCGAGGTCAAGCTTTTTGCGGTCCTTGTTCTTGAGATGGTACGGGTTCTTGCCCTGCGCCACCAGCGCTGCCTCCATCCGCTTGCGCTCGATGTTGCGCCGCGCCTTGGCCCGCCGATCATCAATGTTGGAGGCCATGGCCTGAACCTTGCGCAGCTGGTCGCGCAGCTCCGCGCGCGCATCAGGGTTGCGCTCCTTCTTCAGCGACTTGCGCAGCTGCCCCATTTCCACGTCCTGCTGCTCGCGGATGTGTTTGTATCGAGCGTACCAGAGGTTGTGGTCGGTCGAGCCCGAGACGAGCGAGTCGAACCGCGGATCACGGGCCCGCACCGGCTTCTTGCCGCCGCGCAGCCGCGACGGAAGGCCCCGCGGCTTGGTCTTGGCTGACATCTCCACCGGCCCATGCCGCGACGTTCTCTGCCTCTTCATCGGCCGCTGCGAGCTCTTGCGCTCATCGTCGGAGCTCGACGCACCCTCCGATCCGCTTCCCCAGCCGCCTGCCCCGGACTCGTCCGACGAGTCTCCCAGCCGCTGCCGCCGCAGCGCGTCCCGCTTCCGCTTCCGCGCCAGCGCCAGACCGCCCTTGACGCGAGCGAGCACAGTGCCCAGCTCCTCGTCGTCCTCGCTCACATCGCTCCGGTCGAGATATCCGACCGAGTCCATCGATCCCGACGAGCAGCCTTCACCGTCGTTCGACACACCGCTCTCCACCGACGACGATGATGTCGAGTATGTGTACGTGTACTCGTCGTCGTGCGCCTTGGCCGCCTCGGACCACTTTGCCCGTGCCGCCGCCCGCGACGCCTTCCCATCCCTCGCCACCGGCTGCTCGTCGTCTCCCCTCTTGGCAGGCCAGCCCTTGCCCTTGCCCTTGCCTTTACCCCCGGAAGCCCCCCTGCCCTTGCTCTTTCCCTTGTCCTTGCCACCACCCATCCCCAGCGAAAATGAGTGTCGTGTGTCTCGTCCGTGTCTCGTCGCCTTTCCCTCCCGGCCTGCGGCCGGGTTGGATGGATGGGAGCACTTCGGCCGGTGGCCCGTCGGCCGGCAAGTGGAGCACAGGTTTTACAATGCCAGGCAGAGCAGGTTGGCACTCTAGATGACCTTCTCGATGAGAACGGCAATGCCCTGGCCACCGCCGATGCAGGCCGAGCCAATGGCGTACTTGACGTCCAGGTTGGCGACGCGATGGGCGAGGTGCGACATGATGCGGGCGCCCGAGGCTCCCAGCGGGTGGCCGAGAGCGATGGCGCCACCGGACGCGTTGGTGATGGCGCGGTCGAGGCCGAGCTCACGCTCGCAGGCGAGGTACTGCGGGGCAAAGGCCTCGTTGATCTCGACCAGGCCGATGTCGTCGAGCGAGAGGCCGGACTTGGCAAGCACGCCGCGGATGGCCGGGACCGGGCCGATGCCCATGATGGTCGGGTCGACGCCCTCGACGTGCCAGGCGACGACGCGGGCGAGCGGGTTGAGGCCGTGCTTGTTGGCGGCCTCCTCCGAGGCGACGACAACCGACGCGGCACCGTCACAAATGCCCGATGCCGCGCCAGGCGTGACCACGCCGTCCTTCTTGAACACCGTCGGCAGCTTGCCGAGCCCCTCAAGCGTCGTCTCCGGCCGCGGGTGCTCGTCGATGGCAAAGGTCGTCGTCTTCCCGCGCTTGCCCTTGACCTCCACCGGCGCAATCTCGGCGTCAAACACGCCGTTGGCCGCCGCCGCCGCCCACCGGGCCTGCGACGCGAGCGCGTACTCGTCCGAGTCCTCGCGCGTCACGTTGTACATCTCGGCGAGCTTCTCCGCCGTCATGCCCATCGGCGACTGCACATGCGAGTCGGTGAGCCCGGCCCAGAGCGTGTCCGTCATCTGCGGAGGCTGCCCCAGCACCGTTCCGAACCGCATCGAGCCCGGCAGGTGGTACGGCGCCTGCGACATCGACTCGGTTCCGCCCGCAACCGCCACCGAAGCCTCGCCGAGGAGGATAGAGTGCGCCGCTGAGACCAGCGACTCAAAGCCGGAGCCGCACAGCCGGTTGACCACGTGCGCCGGCGTCGAAATCGCGCACCCCGACTTGAGCGCCACATGCCGCGCAAGGTACGCCGCCTGCGGGTCAGTCTGCTGCACGTTGCCGATCACCACGTTGTCGACGGCCCTGTGCGCACGAGTGAGAAGAAGGGAGAGTGAGTGGGGGTGTCACGGTCATCGCTTGGGTGGTCTCCGCCACTTCAAATTTGTCACTCTCCTCGCGGCGGAAGAAAATGACGCGCTAACGCCACCTCGCCTCAACCCGGCCGTCATTCTTCGCTCGCCAGCTCCCCGCCCAGCCCGCAGGCGAAGCAAGACTCTGCCCCCCCACAACCACCACGTACTCGGCCGAGACGCCAGCGTCAGCAATGGCGGCGCGGGTGGCATGGACCGCAAGGTCGGTGGCTGACATGCCCTTGAGCGTCCCGCCAAAGGTGCCAAACGGCGTCCGCTTGGCGCCCACAATGAAGAGGTTCGTAGCTGCGCGAGCTGCCATGCTAAAGTGCTTGGTGCAAGAGTCAGTGAAGTGCTACAGTCGCCGATGCCTTGACCGCGCCCGTCGTCCCTCAACAACACACAGCCCCCCCTCACCGCATCAAGGCTGTAAACGGCGACAGCTTCAAGGATGGGGAGACGGGGGCGGCCGTCGCAAAACCGGCCATCGTCGATCCATCGGTCTGTATAAACGTCGAGGTGCCGATCAAGGCCGGGCCGATTGCCCGAGCGCTGGCCGGTGCTCTTATCATGCATGCAGGCAACATCTCCAAGGGACGCCCATCCTCTACATTGCAGCGGATACCAGCTGCAGGTATCTGTGCTTTTATTGCGCTACAGCAAAGCGACTCGTGGCCAGCCCAAGCTCGCTCGAGATCCGATCCCAGCCGACCACATGTCAGTGCATTGAATTGATACCCCCCCATCATCCACTGGCAGCTGGCCAGTTGCCCAATCTTGATGACGCCATCCAACACCGCCATCTCGCCGACTCGCCGCAGGCAACAGCTCCGCAGTCGAGGCCACCGCGTTCGACCGACGAGTGCCGGCCGATTCGCCCGCCGGCCAGTCTGCACTAGAGGCACTCGACTCGGCGGTGAGGCAACCGAGCTTGGTGTATGTCCCCATGTGAGAGAGCGTGTTGATGGAGCCGGTAGCGTTGTACCTGGGTGGGTATAGATGGCTGATGTGGGTATGGTCTGTGCTCTTGCCAACGTATGCGCCATGCTCAGACTCGCCATGGTCGCCGCCTCCCACCGGCTGGCATTGCCTCCATTTTCGGCTCGCCATCCCATCGCTGCGGGAGAGCGAGGGCTAGGGATGGGCAAGTATGGGGCATTGTCCATGGATTCCTCCCCGTTCTTCAGCTGTACCCCTCGGCGTAGCATGGTGGTAGACCCTGCGCGTCGTTTCTCTACCTTTATCAGCCTCTTTCCCCGTACCCAGCCGCGAGAATGCCTGTGACGCGCTGTGTGTGTTGGTGGAGACAGTCGAATCGAGAGCGACTCACCGAGAGATGCGGCGATGATGGCGATGCGGGGGATGATGCTGAACTGCGGCGATGATGTGATGGCGGCCTTTGGCTGTACGGTATGGTACTCGACGTGGTTGCAGTGGGAGGGATGGACATCGAGGACGTTGTTGTGGAGGACGGGGGCTCGCCTCGCATCTGTTTGCTGGGGCGATGGCGGGTATTGCTGAGCATGTGGTTATGTTTCCCGTAGACACCATCAAGACCCGCATGCAGGTCACGGTGGCGGCCGTGGAGGGCGTCGCAGGCTCGGCGGGCGGCGCTACGGTGGGCATCCGCGGACCGACGGGCATGGTGGGAGTGGCGCGGTCGATTGTGGTGAACGAGGGCGTGATGCGGCTGCTTCGCGGCGCTCAGAGTGTGGCGCTGGGTGCTGGCCCGGCGCACGCACTGTACTTTGCCACGTACGAGAAGATGCGTAAGGTGCTTGGCGGTGACAACCGCGACGAGCACACGCCGTTGGCGGCGGCGGCGACGGGCGCGGTGGCGACTACCGTGTGTGACACGATCATGACCCCGTTTGACGTCATGAAGCAGCGGCTGCAGATCTCAGGCTCACCCTACCGTGGCGTGGTCGACTGCGCCCGGACCATGCTCCGAGTTGAGGGCTTTGCGGCCTTCTTCCGCTCGCTCCCCACCACGCTCGTCATGAACGTGCCGTACGCCGGCTTCCACTTTGCCGCATACGAGTCGCTGTCCAGAGTACTGATCTCGGACAACGACCACCACCCGCTGGCCAACTCTCTGGCCGGCGCCGGCGCCGGCGCCTCGGCCGCCGCCCTCACCACTCCGCTCGACGTCGTCAAGACCCGCCTGCAGACCCAGGACATCGGCGCCGCCACCGGCGCCGCCATCCGCAAGGTTCCTTACAGAGGCATGGTCCAAACTGCACGCACCATCGTCGCCGAGGAGGGCCTCCGCGGCCTCTTTGCTGGCATGGTCCCGCGCATGCTGTTCTTTGCACCCGGCGCCGCCATCGCATGGACCACATACGAGACGCTCAAGCATCTGACCCGCCACTGGGCCTCCGAGTAGCTCGTCTCCAGCCGACTCCTAGTCGCCTGTTAACATAATTGCTGCTCTCTTCTGCTTGCTTCACTGGCTTTCCCCCTCTTAGCCTTCTGCTGCCCGCACACAGGCGTCGCGCCTCACACCGAGCACCGCGCCTCGCCGTGCTCCGGGACTGGGGAGACCGGAGAGCAGCGGCGTGCTGCGGGTGCGCGTCCAGCCGACAAGCGGCTGGATGTGCGAGGCGGGATGGCGCCGAGGCTCGGGCCGCGCTCCGGCCCGCGCAGTGAGCACAGGCTTGAGGAGCGCGACCGTCATGTCGTGTGCTGACCAGCAGCAGTCGAGGAGAGGGAGGGGGGGGGGGGGGGGGGGGGAACGGGGAAAAGAGGCTACCTTGCGCTACAGCATCAGCTCCTCCTTGTCGCCGGGGCACTCGGACTCGGAGCGCGGCTCAGGAGCAGAAATATCCGAGGTGTCGGGCGCGTCGGCAGCGTTGCCGCCGAGAGCTTCGAGGATGTCGCCGAGAGGCGCGTGCTCGCCGTAGTTCTCCTGGCGGAACTCGTAGAGCAGATCGCCGCCGATGTCAAAGACAAAGGTGCCGCCGAGCTGGAAGCCGTCGCCCTTGAGGTTGCCTTCAAAGCCGCGGTCCTTGGACTCCTTGATCCGCTTGCGGGCGGTTGAGTTGAAGAGGCCAAAGCCCGAGGTAATGCCCTTCTTGGCCAGGCGAAGCGCCTTGTGGATAGTCTTGCCCTCGTTGACGAACAGCTCGCCGGCCCAAAAGTTACCATCGTAAAAGTCCTTGTAGCCAAAGGTCTCCACGCCGACGCCCACCAGCCGAACGCCCATGGCGTCCAGCTGCGGCTTGAGCTGGCTCAGCTCGTAGGCCCCCAGTCTGCAGATTTGTCAGCCAAACCTACGCAGGACATGAACCACAACCCGCTGTGCACCCATTCGCCCGTTGTTTGCCGCCCAGCGTTTGCCCACCACCGTTGCCCGTCCCGTCCACCATCACCAGCCGCCGCCAGGCACAGATAGGGATGAACGAAATAAGAGAGGAGAAAAAAACAATGAGTCTGTTGTTGCCCCCCCCCCCCGGGCTGGGTCACGTCACGTCACGTCAGCCCCCCTCCCCCCTCCCCTCCCCAACCATCGTACCTGCTCCTTCCACAGAGTCTTCACCTGCATCTGCTGCGGGGTGAGACGGTCGGTGATGACGCACTCACCAATGGCGTCCGCCACCTGGTGCACGTCAGAGTCGGCCATGGTGAAGGTGAAGTGTGTCGGGGGGTGTGGGGTGTGGGGTGTTGGGGGGTTGGGAGGGGGTCAGCCAGTCAGCCAAGTCCGACAGATGCTTTTCCCCCGTCTTTTAGATGGAGAGGACTGCGTGGTGATGGCTGGGTTGAGAGGAGGTCATGTAGAGCCGGAGCTCGACGAGGAGGACGAGCCCGAGTCTGATTCGAACGAGTGGGAGGTGTCGGCGCGGGTGAGGATGGTGGGCTCATCGCCGGGCTTGATGGCCGGCTCACCCGAGGCAAAGTCAAAGTCTGCTGCTGCTGCTACCACTGGCTCGCCACCGGCCGCAGGTGCGTCGCCGTCAGCGGGAGTACGCTTGAGGTCTGTGGCAGTGATGCTAGAATCGAGACCGGTAAAGGCCGGAGGTGCGGGCGGCCGCAGCCCCGAGCGGACATCGCGCGGATCGTAGCCTTCGCCCGAGTCAGACGACTCGTCCGAGTCGACAGTGTGCAGCCAGGCCTCGCCGCTACCCTTGGTCTGCTTGGCTGCCTGGTCGCCGCGAAGCAGAGCGTCGACCTTGGCTGCCGAGACCACGTGCGACGCGTCGAGCGGAACGGGCGGGCCCTGCCGCGAGAGGTTGACTCGGCTTCGCCGCGAGATCGCCGCACCCATCCGCGACGGGGTGATCGAGCCGGCGCCCGGCGATGCCCGTGCCGCAGGCGACCGCCCGGCTGCTGCCGGCGACGGCGACGCCACATACGACGCCGCTGTCCCCATGCGCGCCTCCATCACCGACGGCACTCGGTCTGACACCACCCGCTTGGGCATGTTCTTGATGTAGGTCCGGACCTTACGCGGATTCTGTCGTCCCATTCGTGAGTGCTATCGCACCGTTCACCTCCCTTCCACGTCTCCCCCATCTCCCCTCCCGCATCAACGTACCACCACCGTCTGATCAGCCCGTGCTGCTTCTCTCCCCAGCTGCGCCACAACATCTGCCACAAACATGTACGGGTTCTCCGGCTGGTCGGCGATCATCGCTGTTGTCAGCTCCTGTAGCCCATCCAAAAATGGTAAGTGAAAGAGCCATGTCCCATACCGATCATCTGTCGGACCACATCGACCGCCACCACAACACCAAGCCGACCATCCTGCTCATGACAACCGACAAATGACAACCGACAAACCCCACCACCACCACCCCAGACCCAATCACATCTTGCTAGTCGCCTGCACCACCATGCCCGATCCCCTCCATCACCTCCTGCCCCTCTCCATCCACAACAGCCCCTGCAACCGTCCTCGCCAGCAACGGCCGCCCGCCCGTCCGCCCGCCCACCCACAGCCGTACCTTGAACAGCTCCAGGATGCGGAAGTGGTTGAGATACGCACGCCCCGCTTCCACATGCTCGGCGTCCATGCCCTTGGCTACGTATGATGTGTAAGAGAGAGTGTGTGTGCGTGAGTGAAATGCGTAGACTCGTGTGTCCGCCCACGACCGTCGCTCTCGTGGTGGCTCTGCTCAGTCACCACTGTTCGTCTGCCCGCAGCAAGCTAGATGCCACCGCCATGCAATCCCTCACCCACAATGGCCATCACGTTTGGTTGGAGAAGAGGCGATGCCACATTGGCCATACACACGTGGACAGAGTAGAGCATAGGCAAAGGCTCGAGGGAGGAATGGCGACATGAGTAGTTTGCTGATACGGTCATCGGCGGCGCCAAGCAGCCTCAGCGGGTGCTCGCGTGGATCTGAGCAGCACTCTAATCTGGTAGGCTTTGAGCTCGCATTATCCGCTCAAGCCGACACAGTAGCATGCGGCGACGTTCGATCAGCACAGAGCCGACGGCACGCGCCGCACCGCCGACAATCCCCCCCCCCCCCCACTCGCGTCGCCAGAATCCAATCTCAGTCGTTCCACACCAGCACGTGTCCGCCGTTGTCACCGGTCTGGCGAGCAAACTGGATAAGCTCCTCCCAGCGCTCGGCCGGCGCAGATCCGACAAACTTGATGTCCTCGTCGAGCCCCGGTCTGCGAATGACCAGCGGCTTGCCCGAGTAAAAGAGATAGACCGCCGGCGAGAGAGCCAAGCCAAGAGCCTCGACATCCTCCTGCGACTCGATGTCATCAGCATCAACAACAAAGATCTTAGAGTACGGCGTGACCGACGACGACGATCCCGAGCGGAGACCACACAGCGCCCTTGCCGCATGCAGCGCCGGTGGCGACCACCGATGAGCGAGACAAATGACCACCACCCGTTCTTGGATACTTGTAAAGAGGGCCTCTGTTGATCCCATCCCCAGCTTGCCCCCGCCGTCCTCATCGCTGTCCCCACAGTCGAGTCAGTCCCGCCCCCCTCCCCTCCCCCCTCCCCCCTCCCCCTCACTCACTCCCCCTCCCCCTCTCCCTCCCGTCTAGCACATACGGTATGAGCAGAGGCCGAACCTCCTCCCATGTGTCCCATGTCACGTCACTGCTGCTCATGCCAATACCCGAGCCGACCGGAGAGTCGAGTCTACCGACCCACCGCTTCCCGTCCGCAGTCAAGCTCCTGCGACTGCAGACTGCGATGATGCCTGCAAAGTCGGCTGCGTGGCTTATGGACACCATCGCACGGTGTGCGCACTGGCAGATGGGCGCATGATGAAGGGTTTAGGTAGGCGTGTGTGTGCGTGTTGTGTGTGTGTGTGTGGTTCCAGCTCGGGCGATGGCAGGCGCCGGATGGAGCACCACGATGGTGTCGTGCCTACATGACAGCCATGGCGGTAGGACGGTTGTGGGGTGGGGTGCGCCGGCCGAAGGATTCGATTCGGGTTCAGAGGTCGAGCGTGCAGGCGCTACGCTGCGATGAGCGTGGTGTTGGCGGTGACGTCGAGCGACATGACCGAGATCTTGCAGCCGGAGACCCATTCGAGACAGTGAACACCAACAACGACAGCCCAGGGCCCTGCCGGCTCACGGGCGTAGCGGCCAATGTCGGCAGTGATGTTGTTGACGCGGCGCGGGGCAAAGTCGGGCGAAGCGTAGGAAGCGATGAAGCCATCGAGCTCATCCGAAGCCATCGGCAGCGATGCGCAGGTAAAGTCCGGCATGACGACATAGCCCTGATTCGACGATGCCGATCCATCGACCATAACCACCAACTCTGTACTCGCACTCGCCTCCTCCGCATCCATCATGCAGCACCAGGCCACCGTCTCACGTGGTCCGGTCGTCTGCACCAGTCCGCGGTAGCTGCACCCGGCCGAGGCCACAGAGCCAACAGCAGCGAGGACGACCACCATTGCGAGCAGTACAGCAGGTGACATGTCCGAGAGCAAGAGAAAGAGAGAAAGAGGGAGAGTTGAGAGTGTCGGTGGTCTTTGTGTTGGCGGTGGTCGTCGTGGTGGGGCCGGGTCCCAGTCGCCGGCGGGAATCCCCGGCGGGCGGACGGCTGCACTTGCGCTACGCGCCACATCCGGCAGCATGACACGACTGCTTGTTGAGCAGGCAGCGAGTTGATGCGGCATCACATTGCACATGCCGTGACTTTGATGTACGCTGAGGCAAGATGGTTCCGGTTCGGCAGTGCTGGTGCGTCGTAGCCTGTGATCATCACTGGATGGTGTCCTTGTCGCGCTTCTTCTTCCACTTGCGCACGCGCTTCTTGCGGCTCTTTGGCGGCCGATCCTGCGATGGTTTTGCTCCTGCTGGCTTGATCTGAGGAGATCTCCCGCTGCTTGTCGACGCAGCGTTCCGGAGCGGACGGCGGGGTCGATGCGAGGCCAGGAGCCGCGCTATCTCTGGGTGGCCCTCGGCTTCGGCGCGCTGGATAAGCGATGTGCGATCGGCAGTGATGTCGGCACTGGGATGGGCGAGGAGGAGGCGGACAACATCCGCATGGCCATGCCTGATCGCGGCGTAGTACGTCTCAAAGTGAACTACGTACGGATAGTAGCAGCTGTGGTAGGTGATGTTGGGATCTAACTGGAGGTTGGCAAGGACGAGCTCGATCATGTCTGCTCTGCCTGCAGCGCACGCGTCGACAAGCAGCTCGTCGGCGCGGTCCAAATCGACACAGCTCGCCGCGCCGGCATCAATCAGAGCACGAACCATGTCGATGTCGCCGGCATCCATCGCGTCAAGGAAGATGCGGCCGACAGAGAGATACGATGCGCCCGGAGAACTGAGTAGCATCTTGACCATGTTCGCATGTCCGCTCTTCGCAGCTGTGATGACCAGCGTGTTTTGCTCGATCGACGGAGACAAATCAGGATGAGCGAGCAGTGCGGCGGCGACTTTGGTCTCGTTGTTGGCCACCGCCTCCTTGAGTGCCTGGACCAGCAGGTGCTGCGCCGGGATCTCAAACGATCGGACCATCCACGCCACCAGCTCGGCATGGCCCGCACAAGCCGCACACTTGACAGCCTCTTCCATGACGCTGTCGCCCATTTCTTCGCGTGCCAACAGCTCCACCAGCTCGCGATGACCAGACTGGGCCGCGGCAACAAGGCACGTCGCCCGCTCTGCTGCATCCTCCACGGCAGGCAGCAGATCGACAGCCACACTCGGCAAACCATACAATATAGCCAAGACCGGCATAGCGAGCGGGCCACGAGCCAGCGCTCGCCGGCCGAGGCCCTCGCGTACCACAACGCCGCGCTTCATGAGGACGGCTACGATCTTACGCCAGGCTGCGGAGCCGGGCCGGGCGGCGACGAAGATCTGGACGAGATCGCGATCGGCGGCACCTGCACGCTCGCGCGATTGCTGGAGAGCCACCGCAGCACCGCCCCAGCTCTGTCGCCACACACACGCGGCAAAGCCCGCAGTAGCTTCCGGCCGTAGCTCGAGCCGAGAAGAGCGAGGTCGAGCGTGGTACAGGTAGCCGCAAGAGAGCGGCGGATGTCGACCTCACTCAGTAACCTGCAGGTGAATAATCTCGGTGGGAAGTTTGTCGAGCATGCCGCCTAATGGAAGCAGTTAGCCTTTGTCAGCTGTGGCCGTCGGCGTCAAGTGTCTCTGTCCTGCCGGGTGCTGGGAAGGGCCAAGATTCTGCAGATACGGCGGACCGCGTCGGCACGCGTGTCATTCACGCTGATTGCTGCCGGCCAGCGACCGACGACGAACACGACGAACACGACGAACACGACGACGGGCGGCGACGGGCGACGACCACCTAACTCACTCTACGCCCATGCTCCGGTCTCTGTCATCTGCTGCTGCTGCGCCTGCACTTGCTGCTGCTGCCTCTGCCTCTGCCTCTGCCACTCGCAGCTCGCTCGCCCATGCCTCGGGCATTGCCGCCGTCACCATTGTCGGCTCGGGCATCATGGGCGCTGGCATTGCCCAGGTCTCGGCCCATCATGGCAAGGACGTCCGCCTGGTCGATCTCTCGGGTACGCTCACCTCTCATCACCCCGTTGCTCTCACCCCTCTCCCCTCCCCCTGTCCGCTGCCTCTCACCTCGCCCCCTCCCCGCCCGCCCTTGTCACAGAGGAGAACCTCGCCCGCGGCAAGGCGGCTATCGAGGGCTCGCTCAAGCGAGTGCTGAAGAAGGAAGCGGATGTGGATGCTGCTGTAGCCGATGTTATGGCTCGCATCACCTTTACCTCGTCGATGGAGGAAGCGCTCAAGGGATCGGATCTGCTTGTGGAGGCGGTGTACGAGGATCCCGAGACCAAGCGGCAGATCTTTGGCGTGGCGCAGCAGTACGCCGACGACGAGTGCATCTTTGCCACTAACACCTCGTCGCTCTCGGTCAACTCGATTTGCAACGGCGTCCGTCCCGAGCGCTTCGGCGGTCTGCACTTTTTCAACCCGGTGCCTATGCTCAAGCTGGTCGAGGTCATCAAGACCGACGAGACCTCGGACGCCACTGCCGACGCCCTCCGTGAGTTTGCCGCCGAGGTCGGCAAGGAGCCGATTGTGTGCAAGGACACGCCCGGCTTTGTCGTCAACCGCCTCCTTGTCCCGTACCTCCAGTCGGCCGTCGACATGATGGAGCGTGGCGACGCGTCCAAGGAAGACATCGACAAGGCTATGAAGCTCGGCGCTGGCATGCCCATGGGGCCATTCGAGCTCCTCGATGTCATCGGCCTCGACACCGCCGCCCTCATCATCAACTCGTGGGTCCGCACCCACGGCGACACCTTTAACGCCACGCCTGCCATTGACAAGCTTGTCTCGGACGGCAAGTTTGGCCGCAAGAACGGCGAGGGCTTCTACAAGTACTAGACAAGGTAATAAAGCCATCGTCTGGTCATGACGTGCGCACGCACACGCACACAACTCACTCACTCACACACACACTCTCTCTCTCCCACTCCCGCTCGCGCGCTTGCTTGCTTGCTTGCTCAAGCAAAGCCGACGTGCACGCTCTGGGTCGAGTTGGCCAGCCGCGTCCGGTGGAGCGCGCCGAGAACATCGAGCGACTGGCCCGGGTTGGCGAGCGTCAGATCGTACTCGTCGACCCGGCGGGAGTCGGCGATCGACACAACGCCGTCGGCGCCGATGACCCCGGTCACCGCGTCGCGGACCTCGTCGCGCGAGCACCCGGGCGCGTCAATGTAGATGGTCGGCACAACCGGGCCGACCCGCGACGGCGAAAAGTCGCCCTTGAACCGGTGCCCGTCGCGCTCGGTGTACGCCTTGAGCTCCACCGCCCGCGAGAGCGCGTCACCAGGCACGCAAGCAATGTCCAGCCGCCCACCAAGCCCATGTGCACCCGCAAGGAACTCCAGCACCGCATCGGCCTGTGCCAGCGTGTCGACGTCGACCAGAAAGGCCTCGCCGTCACGCGCGATGGCACGGACGTCGGCAAACGCGCCAATGACGTTGAACAGGTCGTCGTACGCGGTCTGCGAGCTCACGCCCCGCACCTCGAGCACTGTCGAGTTGGCACGTCCGCCGGCACTCGCCGGCGGCGGCGGAGAGGGGCCGCGCGCCGGCGGAGGCGGCGACGGGCCACGCGCCGGCGGAGGCGGGGGTGGCGACGGGCCACGGAAGCCACCGCCACCGCCGCCGCCGCCGCCGTAACCGCGCCGGGTGTAGTCGACCTCCATCCGCGTGTCGCGCTTGATCTGGATCGACTTCTTCTTGGCCGGCTCCACACGGAGGTAGCAGCACCCCTTGTAGATTTCGTTGCGATCGAAGCGGTCCATGGCCTCAAACGCCTCGTCGGGAGACGCCATCTGCACAAAGCCGGCCACCTCGCCGCGCCGCTCAAAGAGGCAGATCTTGTCGACAAGCCCGGCCCGCGAAAAGAGCGCGTGGATGACGTCCGCGTCAATGTCGTACCGGAGCTCAGAGACCCGAACGTGAAGGATGCTTGTCTGCAGCCGGCGGCCGCCGCCACGCGACGAGCCAGGCGGATCCATCAGGCCGCCCGAGCCACGGTCGCCGTAGCCACCACGGTCGCCGTAGCCACCACGGTCGCCGTAGCCGCCGCGGTCGCCGTAGCCACCGCGGTCGCCGTAGCCACCGCGGTCGCCGTAGCCACCGCGGTCGCCGTAGCCACCACGGTCGCCGTAGCCGCCACGGTCGCCGCCACGGTCGCCGCCACGCTCACTGGCGCGGTCGCCACCGCGGTCGCCGTTGGCCGACTCCTTCTTGGCCTTGGCCTTGCGCAGCGTCGAGCGCCGCGAGCGCTCGGCCTCGATGACCTGGCCGCCGATAATGAGCTTCTCCGAACCGTTGGGCCCAACAAGGTCAACAAAGCGGTCGACTTCTGCGCTCGACTCGAGCTCGACAAAGGCGAGGCCCCTGCGGAGAAAGTTGACGCCGAGGACACGGGCAAACTTGCCCACTGCGTCCGAGATCTCGTCGTCGGTCGCGGTCTTGGGCACTGGACGGAGGAAGAGAATCGGGGTGGGCTCGGCCGGCGGCTGCGGCTTGCGCTCTCCCTTGGGCGGGCGACCGCCACGGCGAACTGCATCGTCGCCTGCCGGCACCGCCTCGCCCTCGAGGTTCTTGGCCTTTTTCTCGCTCCGGCCCTCACCGTTGGCCTCGCCGCTGGCCTCGACGCCGCCGTTTTCGCCGTCGTCGTTGTCCTCGTCATCGCGACCACGCTTCCGCGACTCGCCGCCGTTCTCCTCATCATCATCATACCGACCAACATCATTGTTCGTCTCCTCGGTGACCTGCATCTCTGCCACCGGAGCGCTGCTGCCGGCTGCGTCGTCGTCACCGCCCGCCTGGGCCACGGCCTCCTGCTGCTGCTGCTGCTCCTGTGCCTCGCTCTGACCACCCTGGGTGGGCTCGTTGACTTGAGCCTGCTCCACCACGTCCATGTCGCCAGCAGCTGCCGTCGTCGTGGTCGTCGGCCTCGCCTGCTGCTCCTGCTCCTGCTGCTGCTGCTGCTGCTGCTGCTGCTGCGGTTGCTCCTCCGCGGCCGGCTCGGGCGACGGGGACGGGTTGCGACGGCTGCGACGGCGAGTGGTCATGACTGGTAGAGACTGTAGTCGTGTACGTCAAGTACCTTCTGCACACAAAGTCTGCCCCCCTCCCCCCCTCCCCTCCCCCCCCCCCCCCCTCCCCCATACCCTCTCGGTAGGTCGCTCACTCGCTTGAAACCAAAGATTTCCGCCGAGTCGCAAAACGGGCTGTCCAGCCGGACGGAGGGGGGGGGAGGGGGGGAGGGGGGATCGGGACATGGGTGATGCACATTGATGTGTTTGTGTTTGGTGGCTGGTTACGGATGTCTGAGAGAGCCCAGATCAGTGCCCGCAGCAACAGGGTGATGAGCCACAGCCACGGGTGCAACCTTGGGCGGCCACCACGATCGCTATCTTGGGTGCAACCAAGCGGCAAAGTCGCCACCTTGGGCGCAACCATAGCCGCATTCATGGCCGCAACGCAGCAGGCGATCATCATCATCATCGTCATCGCCTTCTCCCATTCCCCTTACCACCCCCCTCCCACCCCCCTCCCATCCCCCCCATCCCCATCAAATTCTTGCAACGCAAGCAATGCCCAGCGCACGTGCTAGCTCCCCCCCCCCTCGTACCCCATCCCCCCTCCGGAGATGGCTATTATTCATCGTTCGGGTGTTCGAGCCTACGTCACATGTGAGCAGACTCGCTCGCCAGTGGTTGGGCGTTCGGCCATGTGTCACGTCATTTTGGTCGACTGGGTTCCACCCACCGAGAGATGGGACGTGGAGGGGGGGAGGGGGGAGGGGGGCACCCGACTACCTCCCCACGGGGGCTACCTCTTACCAGGGGGGAAGAGAGAGAGACACATACATATCATTTATATACCATGTCAGGAGGAGGAGGTAAAGGCGTACGAGGTGAGCATGGCCACAACACCTCCATTCTCTCCCAGATCATTTACCGCGACTTTGAGGATGCCACCGAGGAGCGAGGGGAAGACCTTCTGCACTCGCGGCATGCCCCTGCCCACCACCCCTTCATCACCACCACAAGGTACAGTCCCTCCCCCTCCTCCCCTCCCCTCCCCTCCCTCCCCCTCCCCCCCCCCCTTGCCTCCTCCCTACCTGTCCTCCCCCTCCCCCTCCCCCCCCCCCTCCTCCCTCTCACCCTCTCCCTCCGCCATGCACAGCACCCCCACGCCAGAGGTCATGATCTCCACCTCGCTGACCTCGCCGAGGGCCTCGTATCGACAGATGCTGCAGTCTCCGCCGAGTATGAGCACCTCAACCTTGCCCACCGCTGGCCCTTCTACCACAGTGCTCTCAGCCAGGGGACACAACCTGCTTGCTCCCAGGATATTCCCTCCGCATTTGGTCTCCGAGTACGAGTACGCCTCAATGTCGGAGGAAGCGTCGGACGATGGCCCTCGCTCACCGGCATCAGACATGGACCTCATTCCGCAGTTTGGCGGTCACTCGGTGCTGAGCGAGTCGACTCCCTCGCTCCCCTCGCCGCCGCCAAAGGAAAACTCGCTGGTCTCGTTTGCGAACCTCTCGATTCCGCACGAGCCGTCCAAGCCCGAGCCGGTCTCGTCGCCCGACTGCTCCCCGGTGCAGACCCCACGCGGGCAGCCGGATTCGGATGACGAGCCGGAAAACACGAGTGATGGAAGCAGCGGGCCACCAAGCGGCATGCTTCGGACACAGCGTGCGTCGACGATGGCTGCGCGCCCGTCACGGATGCGCGCCCGCAAGGCTCTTATCCGCTCGCTCTCCCCGCCGCCGTCGCACGTCATGCCGCCGCCGTCGTCACCTGGCGATGTCGCTGCCACTGCCGACGCCATCGGCCTCGCCATCCCCCCCCTCGACATCACCGGCCGCCGGAGCCGGACCCTGACCGAGTCATCGCAGCCGGGTGCCGCGCCGCGGCCGCACGCTCACCGCTCGATCTCGGGCGACACTGCAGTGTCCAAGACGAGCATTGCGCGACTGCAGCGTGCGCGGACCGCGTTCCTCCGCGACGCCAAGGCCTTCAAGCGGGCGCTCAAGGCCGCTGGCGCGCAGCCACCGCCGCCGCCCGCCCGCGGCACGACGCCCAAGGGCGGGTCAGCCGGTGCCGCCTTTGTGCTCTGCCACACCAATGCGAGCTCGGTGCTCGCGCTCATTGACGAGCTGTCCGACTACGACGTCGAGCGCATTGTGGTGGAGAAGCCCGACTTTCGAACCGAGCTCCTCCATCAGTACCTGCGCGCATGGGACCCGGCTTGTCCGGCCAAGCGCGCGCTGTACCCGGTCCTCTTCTCCGCGGCAGCCATTGCCGCTGTCCTCGAGGACCTCGCGTACACCGCCATTCTGCAGTTGGCCTCGCCGCCTGAGCGCCACCGCGTGGTATCGGTCGTCTCGCCGCGGGCAGCCCGCGAGCTGCACTCGGCCACGCCGACGCCGCGCTACGACCCCGGTGCGCCGCTGTACTCGACGACCGGCTCGGCTTCAGCGTCGGCGTCGGCCTCGGTCTCGTCAGCCACTATCACTCCGCGTGATGTTCCGGGCCTCCCGCCACTTGACATGCACTCCTGTAGCAACAAGATGGGCGGCGCCGACTCCCCGCACTCGCCACCGCGCGCCTCGACCTCGTCGCCGGCCATTGTCGACCCGAGCACGCTGCGGATTGCCGCGCCCCGCTCGCGCGAAGTCTCGCCACGGCTCGACCCGTCGTCGGGTGAGAACACACCTGTGCTCGACAAGTCGACCACTGGCTTTTTTGGCCTCCTCCGTAAGATTGGCAAGCGCTGGTCGCGCAAAGGAACGCTCCCGCCGTCGCGGATCGCCGCAAGTGCTGCCGACGGAGCAAGGCCAATCGAGAGCGAGTCTCCGCTGGAGTCGCCAGAGCTGCAAAAGGCACCCTCCGGGGAGTCGGACGCCGCCGGTGTCAACGCCAACAACGTGCTCATTCCCGCGCTTGGAGAGCTGCCACTGGAGCAGGCCCAAGCCAAGGGTGCCAAGACGCCGAGCACAGCGACAACGGCAACAACAACGACGTCGACGACGACGGCATCAACGCCCGTCTCAGCCCCGCTCCCACCGCCAAACACGCCGCTCGCCGGCAAGCTGGCCGACGTGGACGTGCCGCAGCTCTTGCTCTGCCGCATCTGTGAGCAACAGGTGCCGGACCTGCCTGCGCACTCGCGGACCTGCCTCGCCATTGCCGAGGACGAGGAAAAGGCCGGCTCGGTTGACCTGCGGCTCATCGGGCAGCTGCGCAAGCTCAAGCCGCACATAGAGGCGCTGGAGTCCGGGCTCAAGGCACCTGGTGCGTCGGAGCTGAGAGAGGACGGGCGGACCGAGCCTGCACACGCGCGGGCCAAGCAGCAGCTCTCGCTGCTGCGGCTGGTGGCAGACACCATCATCAACCTGGGTATCAACGAGAACTCGGTCTCGTACGACGACGCCATCACGTCGGCTTCGATGGCGGTCGACGTCCTCCGATCGCACGCCGACAAAGTGGATCTTTCGGTGGTGACGCAGCTCTCACTCGAGAAGCTCATCGACAAGGCGTGCAGCTTGCTGGAGACCAAGATGCAGGCGCTACTGTCTGCCAAGACCAAGGCGGCCGAGTCTGCGGCCGAGTCGGGCCACGCACGGAATCCGGAGCACACGGTTTGGGTGACGCGAGCAGCGTCGCAGCCAAACATCCTCACGCCGCCGGCAGGAAACCCGGTGCCGACGGCGCCGACGAGTGTGGCCCAAAGGGCGCTGGCGGCGCAAAAGGGCCACACGCGGCGGTCGTCAAGCGGCTCGGGCCTCATGGGCGTGCCCACCATCCGCGAGTTCAAGATCATCGACCGGATTAGCGCCGGGGCGTATGGGAGGGTGTATCTCGCGCGGAAGCGGACAACCGGTGACCTGTACGCCATCAAGGTGATCAAGAAAAAGGATCTTGCCCGTAAGAACCAGCTGCAGTATGCGCGGGCGGAGCGCGACATCCTCTCGGACGTGCACGACGCACCGTTTCTGGTCACGCTCTACTTTGCCTTTCAGTCGCAGCGCAACCTGTACCTCGTGATGGAGTACCTCAACGGCGGCGACGTGCTGGCGCTCCTGTCGGCGTTTGGCGCGCTGGAGGAGGCGCACGCGCGGCAGTACGTGGCCGAGGTTGTCTCTGCCCTCGACTACCTCCACTCGCACGGCATTGTCCATCGTGATCTCAAGCCAGAGAACCTGCTCGTCGACTCTAAGGGCCACCTCAAGCTCATCGACTTTGGCCTCTCGTTCCGCGGCATGATGACGGACCACCCACTGCACAACGTTGTCTCGTCGTACTCGGACGAAGGGGGCACCGAGGTGCCCGAGTCGCCGGCATCGGGCATGTTGGGCCCTGTCGACAGCGAGCGGCGCCACAACTCGAACGTCGGCACGCCCGACTACCTCGCTCCGGAGATCATTCTCGGTACCGGCCACGCACATCACGTCGACTGGTGGGCGCTTGGGTGTGTGACCTTTGAGCTCCTTGTCGGCCTCCCGCCGTTCCATGCCGACTCGATCGAGCTCCTCTTTGCCAACATTGTCGAGCGCAACGTGGTCGGCGGGTGGCCGGCGGTGCCCGAGGACATGTCCGAGGAGGCGCGCGATTTTACCGACCGCCTGCTGGTGCTGCAGCCCGAGGAACGGCTCGGCGCGTGCGGCGCGGACGAGGTCAAGGCCCACCCATGGTTCCGCGGCATCGACTGGGCCACAGTCCACCAAGGCCAGGCGCCGTTTGTGCCCAAGCCGGTCGACGCCGAGGACCTCTCGTACCACGACGACCGCTCGGGCAAGTCGAGGCTAGACGAGGCCGAGCTCCGCGAGGTCGCCGAGGACGACGACCACCAGCACCGGGTGCTCGAGGAGCTCCGCCCACCGCCGATGTCGCCGGAGCTGGCGACCGCCAAGTCGGCGCCGCCCGCGCGCAGCCGCCGCTCGGGCGGGCCGCCCAAGTACGGCGTCTTTGATGGCTTTGCCTTTGGCGGCCCCGCATCGGACTCGATCCTTGCCCGCCCGAACCTCGACGACGAGGTCGCAGACGACGCTGGCAGCGGCGGCGACCAAGCCGGCGACGACGACGCCGTCCTCGACCTCTCAGACTTTGCCGTCGTCAACAAGCGTGCACTGCTGAAGAAGAACAACGAAGTGGCTATGGCGTCGCCCAAGACCTCGCGACCGCACTCGCGCACCGCCTCGTTTTCCGGCGTCCCGCCGCACATGAGCGACCTCGCCAGCGGCCCGGGACTCTCCAACTCGTCGTCGACCTCGCACCTGGCCGACCTCCGCGACCGGCTGCTAGTCATCCAAGCCGATCGCTCCGACGAGTCCGGCGAGTCGCGGGAGCTCTCGATCTCACCGAACATGTAGCCAGCCAAGCTGAGTGAACACAGAAACCAAGTGGCGCGGAGAAGCACATTGAGTCAATGACGCGCATCGCAGCGCCTTCAGCAGCAATCAGCCGACCACTCAACGCCGGTGACGACAGCCGATGTTCCGAGTGAGCGGCAGCGGGCTGCGCATGGCACTTGGACTTGGCGGGCGGCGGACTGTTACGACTGTCAGTAAAGGCAGTAGAGGCAGTGGTGGAGGAGGCGGTGCTAGTGCTGGTAGTGGTGCGACTGCCCGTGCTGGTGGTGGTGGTGGTGGTGGTGGTGGTGGTGGTGGTGGTGGGTCGGCGGCAGGGAGTGGCCGTGCCAGCAAGTGGTTGATGGTCCTGCCGATCACCTTTGCCGGCCTGGGCACGTGGCAGGTCTATCGCCACCAGTGGAAGCAGGATCTGTTGGATGTACGTGAGAGAGAGGAAGGAAGGAGGGGGGGGGGGGGGAGGGGGGGAGGGTCGTGTGGGTGGTGGGTGTGACTCATGTGTGTCCTGCTGGAATCGGCCGACTTGCTGCCACCGTCTCGGCTCTATGTGCTGTCTGATACCGGACCATGACGGGCGCAACACAATTGATGACTCTCCACTGGCCTCGATCGCACGCGCTCTCGCTCCCAGCGTGTGGCCCAGCGTATTGAGCACGAGCCAATGCCGCTGGCTACGCCGACGCGCGAAGAGGTCGAGAATGAGCTCGAGTACACCCGCGTGGTCACCCACGGCAGCTTTGACCACTCGGCTGAGATTCTGATGGTGCCCAAGCTGTGGGATGGTGAGCCTGGGGCACACGTTCTCACCCCGCTAGTTCGCGACGACGGCTCGCGGGTTCTTGTCAATCGTGGCTTTGTCCCGCGCGAGCTCATGCCGCAGGACTCTCGTCGCGACTCGCTCGTCGATGGCCGCGTTGCGGTCGCCGGCATCCTGCGCGCCACCGAGCGGCCCAACTCGTTTACCCCCGACAACAAGCCCGAGTCCGGGACTTGGTACTGGCGCGACATCGACGCGCTCGTTGAAACCCTCGACGTTCTCCCGTTTGTTGTCGAGGCCGGCGCGCCTCTGCCCACCGACGAGCCGGCTGACGATTCGCCCATTCGCCCGGGCGTCACCGTCATCTCGGTGCCTAACAACCACTGGCACTACGCTGCCACCTGGTACGCCCTCGCGCTCGCCACCTCGGTCATGTACCTCCGCCGCCCGCTGTGAGCGTTGGCTCTTGCTGCGCAGGAGGCCGCGTGTGTGTTACAACTCGCTATCAAAATCTCCCGTGCTGCCAGTTCCTGCGGTTGCCGGCAAACGAGCGCTTCCGGCGCACCAGAGGCGGGCAGCGCCTGCGAGCGTCCAGCACGCTACATCAGGTAGTTGAGCGGAACAACGCCGGTGAGCCCGCTGCTCACGTTGCGCGCCCTGCACCAACCGTCATCAAACTCTTCAAGCACCTCGACCTGGTCGCCCTCGGCGCACGCCAGCTCGTCGGTCTCGGTGCCAGCAAACGCGTACCGCATCGCACGCCGAGTCGCCACAATGCCAGGCGCAGGCGGCGGCGGAAGCGTCGGAGCCTTGGACTCCGGCTCGGGCACCGCGTCGGTCGGCGCGATGCCCCACGCCACGAGCTCGAGAGCAGCCGCGTCCGCGTCGCGCGCCGCGGCTGCCCGCGACCGCCGCCGCCGCGACCGCACAAGCACCGCCAGCGCGATGGCGCCCACCGCAATGAGCGCAAAGCCTGAACCGGCGACCGTGGCATACGTCGCAGTCGGCGACATGGCCGGCGTCGACTTGGACTGGACCGACGCACCCTGCTGGGCGCCGGCACCGCCAGCCGGGCCGGTCACCGTCAGTGGGTTCGACGTGTCGCAAGCCCCCTGCGCGTAGTCGACCGCGCCGATGTCGTGCGGCGAGCTCCGGGAGCGCCGGCAGAAGTCGTTAGTGACCTGCGAGAGCGAGACGCCAGCGTTGATAAAGTTAGACCGCTGCGAGGTGTCGCCCGAGAGGCGGAAGTCGCCGTTGTCCGCATCGACAAAGGCGCTGCGGGCGGCGGCAACGGTGGTGAGCCAGTTGGAGCCACTGGTGGACGAGCCGCCGTTGCGGTCGGAGATGTCGCCACCGGCGATGATGTTGTTGCGGATGTCGGCGGTCGAGGTGTCGAACCGCACGTCGATACCGTCGGTGTTGAACAAAACATTGTTGTAGATCTTGGTGTCGCGCGCCTCGTTGAGGTAGATGCCGATGGCGGCGCAGTTGATGATCACGTTGTTGCGCATGGTGCCGCGGCGGTGCTCCGGGTTGCATGTCCCCTGCCCGCACACCGAGTCTGGCGACGTGCCGCCGCCGCCAAACGAAATACCGATGCGCACGCCGCCCGAGTGGAGGACCGAACAGGCGATGAGGTTGCCCTCGTAGATGCCGTCGGCGCCGTTGGACTTCATGAACGACTGGTACGAGATAGTGTTGCCGCCGTCCTTCCACGCGTCGTGGAAGTAGTTGTTGCGGACAATCCACCGCTCGCCACCGTCGATGTTGGCCGGGGTGACCGGCGCCGAGGTCCGGCGCCCGCCGGTGTTGTAGAACTCGTTGTGCTCGAGGAGGCAGTCGTCGGGGAACTGGCCGCTCCCGATGTTTGACTTGATCTGGGCGTTAAAGTCGCGGATGACGCAACGGCGCATGACGAAAAAGTCAGCGTCGCCCTGAACGTGGAACGCGTGCTCGCAGTAGTCGTGGTCCGAGCACGTGCCGGTGATGTCGAGGTCCTCAAAGGTCCAGTACTTGGCGGTGACCACAAAGCCCTCGACGTAGTTGGACGAGTGCGAAAAGTAGAGCTTGTGGCCAGGGAGGCCGCGGACGGTGATCGGGTTCGACGACGTGCCCGAGCGCGAGCACGAGATACGGCGTAGCGAGTTGAAGGTAATCGAGCCCGAGATGCCGATGACGTCGCCCGGCGAGGCGTTGGCGATAGCGTTGGTGAGCGCAGACGCAGAACTCACGGTGACGGTGACCGGGGGCGGGGCGGGGCCAGGACCAGGCGTCGGGGTCGGGCCCGGCGTCGGGGCCGGCGTCCCAGCGCCGACGGACCAGTTGATGACAAACCCGTTGCCGACCGTGTTCGAGTCGGAGGTGAACCGGATGTTGCCGTTGCCGGGAATCGAGGCGATGGTCGGGATCGAGGTGCCCGAGTACTGCTGGCCCGTCGAGAGAGTCAGGAAGTCGTAGTTGGCTTCGGTGTTGAACTCGGCCGCTGTCAGCGAGATGGATGACGTCGACGGGAACTGGAAGTTCCACGTGCAGTCAAGGTCGTTGCCGTAGTAGGTCGAGGTCGAGAACGGCGTCGGAACCGTAATCGTGCCCGAGGTGCCGGACGAGATGGTGATCGTGCCGGAGCACTGCGCCGGCGGCGAGGGGGTCGGGGTCGGGGCCGGCGTCGGGGCTGGCGTCCCAGCGCCGACGGACCAGTTGATGACAAACCCGTTGTCACGGTCCAGTCGACAACAATCCCCGCTCGGCGGTGTTGCCATCGCTCACAAAGCGGAACGTGCCGTCACCGCCAATCGTCGGCAGTGCGGTCGGTGAGCCGGTGTACTGCCACGACGACGGCGCCGTGTCGGTGAGATACACCCAGTCGTAGTCGGGCTCAGTGTTGAAGTGAATGACGTTGAACGAGACCTGGGCCGAGAGCGGGTGGGTCCATGTCCAGCGGCAATCGAGGTTGTGGCCGTAGGTGCCAGCCGGGTCGTAAGGGTCGGGGATCGAGATCCGGCCCGAGGTGCCCGAGAGGAAGACCGTGCCAGAGCACGGGGTGCCTGGAGCCGGAGTCGGCGACGGAGTCGGTGCCGGAGTCGGCGACGGAGTCGGTGACGGGGTTGGTGACGGAGTCGGCGACGGGGTTGGTGACGGAGTCGGCGACGGGGTCGCACTGCTCACCGACCAGTTGATGACAAATCCGTTGCCGACCGTGTTCGAGTCGGAGGTGAACCGGATGTTGCCGTTGCCGGGAATCGATGCCATCGTCGGGATCGACGTGCCTGCGTACTGCTGGCCCGTCGAGAGCGTGACATAGTCGTAGCCAGCCTCGGTGTTGAACTCGGCCGCCGTCAGCGAGATGGATGACGTCGACGGGAACTGGAAGTCCCACGTGCAGTCAAGGTCGTTGCCGTAGTAGGTCGAGGTCGAGAACGGCGTCGGGACCGTGATCGTGCCCGAGGTGCCGGACGAGATGGTGATCGTGCCTGAGCACTGCGCCGGCGACGGAGTCGGTGCCGGAGTCGGCGACGGAGTCGGCGACGGAGTCGGCGACGGAGTCGGCGACGGAGTCGGCGCCGGCGTGGTACCCGACACGGTCCAGTCGACAACAATCCCCGCCTCGGCGGTGTTGCCATCGCTCACAAAGCGGAACGTGCCGTCACCGCCAATCGTCGGCAGTGCGGTCGGTGAGCCGGTGTACTGCCACGACGACGGCGCCGTGTCGGTGAGATACACCCAGTCGTAGTCGGGCTCAGTGTTGAAGTGAATGACGTTGAACGAGACCTGGGCCGAGAGCGGGTGGGTCCATGTCCAGCGGCAATCGAGGTTGTGGCCGTAGGTGCCAGCCGGGTCGTAAGGGTCGGGGATCGAGATCCGGCCCGAGGTGCCCGAGAGGAAGACCGTGCCAGAGCACGGGGTGCCCGGCGATGGGGTCGGAGTCGGCGCAGGCGTCGGCGACGGCGTCGGCGGCGGCGTTGGGGTCGGCGCGGGCGTCGGACCCGGGGCGCCGCAAGAGGTCACCATGGTCGTCGTCGACATGAACTGCTGGTTCTGCTGAATGTTCTCGGCGCCCGACATCGGCTCGGGCACCGTCGACGAGCCCGAGACCATCAGGCCCTGGTAGTCCTCGGCGTCGGTTGTGGTGGCGATGTGCAGGTGCGGGCCGGTCGAGCAGCCGGTGTTGCCGGCATAGCCGACGACCTGCCCACGGCAGACCGTGTCGCCGACCTGCAGGTTGGCAAACGAGTCGAGATGCGCGTACAGCGTCCGCACGCCCTGCCCGTGGTCGATGACCACCCGCAGCGCGTGGCAGCACCCGTTGTACGTGTTGCGGCAGTCATCGATCTTGAAGATCGTACCGGGCGCCATGGCCAGCACAGGCGTCCCGAGCGTCTGCCCGTTGCCCACATACAGATCCAGTCCATAGTACTGATTGGTGTACCCAACCCGATCCACGTAGATGTGGCCCGCCGAGCCGGCGTTCGGCCCGTAGCCTGACGAGACCACTACCTGAGTTCCCGACGGGAACGGCCAGTCGAACACCATCCCGGATGGAAGGAGCGTGCCACCCGGCTGGGGCGAGGTGATGGCATGAACGTATGCCGTCTGCGACACCATCGCATGTTAGTGCTCGCCCACACACAAACCCGCCCACACCAGCACCCACCATCGCCATCCCCATGCCCGTCGAGGTCAGCTGCGGAAGGCGAGAATGGGCACATAATTAACGTCCCCACACCGGTGCAGGACAATGCCATGCCCGCAACCTCCACCATCACCCATCGCCCATTGGCCATTGGCCACGGCCCATGCAGGAGCGAGCCATGGCTCATGGCCCAGTCAGAAGCGAGCCATGGCCAAGAGGACCATGGCCAAGACGGACCGAGCCATTCGCAAAACAGTCCAGAGCCTTCCAAAAAAGCAGAGCAAGGTAACAGTGGCGCTGCAGGTGGGGAACATGGAGCGCACGCATCTGTCGTGACAAGCTACATATAGCTACGTTGTAATTTGTGGTTTCTAAATGCTTGGGCGTGTTGGGGGCGCACCCAAGGGTGTAGGGCTGTGGAGTGCGGCTGGTGGAAGTGGCAAAAAGGCCAAAAAAAAATACCAAAAGCAACAATGGCATTCGCTGTAGAGGTGCACTCACTGCTGATGCAGGTGCACTCACTGCTGATGGGCAGAGAGGAGGAAGGGTGGGGGGGGGGGGGGGGGGGGGGAACGGTGGGGACTCATGCTGTGTGGGAGAACATCATCGGCTGCGGGGTCTGATCTGCACGTGGGGCTGGGGCTGGGGCTGGGGCTGGGGCTGCAGATGGTGGTCCTCGTCCGCGTTGCTATCGTAATGGCTTACGCATGTGGCCTCACGCCGCCAACAACCCCGTCGCCTACACTGGCAGCAGTCTTGATCGCATCGGCAGTCTTTGCCATTGTCAAGGCTGCCCTGTTCGACTTTCCGATGTCGCCGCACCTGGCTGCGCTCATCGCCACCTTTGTACTGGCCGCGTTTGCGCCTCCGCTCACACTGGTCGGCCACATTCTCTCGTACACCTCGTACCTCTCGCCGGTGCCTCTTGCGCCGCACCTGCTGGGCGTTGGCGACGACGACCAGCGGGCGCCACTGCTCGGTAGCAGCACCCGCGGCACCATCAATGGCTACGCCTCGCACCGCTTGTCCTCCTCCTCCGCGTCCTCGTACACCAGCGGGGACGAGGAGGCCTCGGGCTCGGGATCGTTTGTGTCGGGCACCTCGTTTGCCAGCTGCGACACCGAGTTTGTCTCGGCCGACGGCACTGCAGCCTCGTTTGCCGCATCATCGTTTGCAGGCGCAGCATCGCCGGCCTCATACTTTGGCACGCCGCGCTCGGACCGGACCTGGGCCGGCGAAGACGGTCTGCTCTACGCCACCCCACCCGAGCACTCGTATGCCGCCGCCGCCGCCTCCGCACGTCTCGCCTCGCCACCGCTACCGCCGTCGTCGTCGCAAGGAGTTGCAGAAGCAGCAGGCGACGGCGTCACATTTGGCGGCATTGATGACGCACCCGAGGCCCACCGCGAGCTTCTGCTGCAGACTTGCACCGCGCTGCACGCCTCGCTCTCGGCAGACGCGCCCGGCTGGGAGCCGTTCTCGCTCGGCAGCTCGGTATCCAACGGCGTCACTCTCGAGGTCAAAGACATGCCGCACGGCGTCCAAGCCGCCCGCGCTCTTTTCTCGCTCTATGCCCCGGTCGACGCAGTCATCGCCGCGCTGAGCGACTGGACCCGCCGTGCAGAGTGGGACCCCGGGTTCGAATCGGCGACCCGCCTCGCCGAGCTCGGTGGCGGCGCGGCCGCCTGGCGCCTGGCCTTCCACGGGCGCGAGCTCACCCAGCAGCGCGATGCCTGCGTCCTCTCCGCGCTGTCAGCAGTTGGCCCGCGCGGATCAGCCATGCTCGTCGCACTGGTCTCGGTCGAGCGCAGCGACTGTCCGCCGCGCCCTGACTACGCCCGTATGACTGTTTATCCCTCGGGCTTCCTAGTCGAACCGCTTCCGTCCGGCGCCACACGGGTCGCCGCTCTCTTCGCCTCGGACATCGAGGGCTGGGTTCCGCGCGCCATCAAGCGCCAGCTCACCGCCTCGGTCGCCCTCGCCGTCGTCGCCGTCTGCAACTCGCTCGCTACAAGCTAGAAGCTCGGCGCTTCGTCCTCGGGTCCATCGCCCATCTCGAGCGCAGCGGACACAAGAGCTCCAAGCCTGTTCGATCGCGCCCACATGTTCGCCGCCTGCCCGCGCACACCAACCGGCCCGTACTCGATAAGCCTTCCGTACCAGCACCCAGCCCGCAGGCACGGAATGGCAAAGAACGCGCTTTCGGCGGCACGGACTCGCCGCGCACCGAGCACCACGGTCTGAACCTCGGCCTCGAAGCACCCGGCATGGACGTACAATGTGCAACTTGCGCTGCACGACACGGAGCACATCTTTCCCGCGCTCCGATCGGCCGGCCGTGCTTGCGACACACGCCCGACTCGGCGGCATAGCTCGCACCTCTGCCCGTGCCGCACCGAGGTCAGCGCCACGTTGGCAAAGAGCCTGCAGGTCAGAACCACGCTCTGCAGCTCGGCCCGGCTAAAGTAGCGCCTAAAAATCAGCGCCCACACCTCCGCCGGCACCTGGCTCACCAACGACTGACCTTGATGGTGCGCGTAGAGGAAGGCGTGCCGTCCGCGCGGGCACTGCGCACACGCCAGGCTCGCTGCTCCCCGCCACACTGCCTTCCGTGAGCACCGCCACGCTACCCAGTCCGGGCACGATGCTGGCCTCGTCGACCGCGTCCGATGCATCGCCAGACTCCAGCGGATGCCCGATACCACCTCGCGCAGCACATCGCCGCCAACCAGCCCATCGTCCACCACAAAGAACAGCTCTTCGTCGCCGTCGCCGCCTGCTGCCGCTCCCACCGCCTCCCTCGCTGCAAACCTCGCCGGCGTCGTCGCCGTCGGCACGTATCCGATCAGCCGCAGCAGCGCACTCGCACGCGCATCGCCCATCGGACAAAACAAGGTCCTCTGCAACCGGACATTGCCTCTCCGCACCGCATTGGTCCGATCGCCGCCACCACCCAACGTCGTGCCGGTCCGCCCGCCGCCGCTCGCCGCCGCGGGCGAATGGCCCCAATTCGAGCTCGGGCTGGCCAGCCGCCGGTTTAGGGCAAGGACAAGCAGCAGGTCCACAACAGCCCGTGCGGCGTCTGCAGGAGTTGCTTCGTTCCACACCAGCGCCTCCAGTTCCGCCACTGTCTCATCGAACACGCTCTCGCCTTCGGCAGCCATTGGTCAGCCCCTTCCCGCCCCTGCCTGCCTGTCGCAACACAGTCTGCCGCCAGGCCTGGAAAGAGAAGCGTACTTCCATTGGGTGGCAACTGCTGCCTCTGCGCCATCGCTCCCATACCGCGCATGTTACTTGGCAGACGTCTGACCTGCGCTCGTCTTTCCGCTTGTCTTTCCACTGCGGCTGACGGCAGCACGCTCTGCAGCTCCAGCGCGCTCTGCAGCTCCAGCGCGCTCTGCAGCTCCAGTTGGCAATGTACGCGACAGGGCGCAGCGACAGGGCGCGGCTAGGGGTAACCAAGATGGGAAGGCTGGGCAGATCGGGGCACGACAGGAGGCCAGTACCGAGCCAAGTAAGTACACAGCGTGCACGCGGCAGGGCGCGGGCGGGCGAGAAGAGAGGGCGAGAATAGAGCCGTCCTCTGGTCACGAGTTGTATCGCGGAGGCGACTTGCCCGCGCGCCGATCGGCCTTGCGCATGGCCTGCTGCGTCTTTCTGCACTTCTTGTACGCCGCAATCGCCGCCTGGCATTCGGGGTCATTGGGCGAGTTCTCCATCTGGCACTTCATCTCCACCATCATGGCCATGGCCGTGAGTGCGTCGTCGTCCATGCCGCCCGTGCTCGTGTCCCCCCCCCCCCCCCCCTGCCCCCCCTGCCCTCCTCCCCTCCCACCCACACCCCTCCCTGCCCACTCTATCTTACCTCGTTCGACTCTTGTGCAAGGCGTGAGCATGCGTTGTGCGAGTGCCACGGCTTGGACATGGGCGGCGTCGAGACAGCTGATGGCGTGCCGACCCTCGTCGCCCCCCCCCCCCCCCCCCCCCTCCCCCCCCCCTGCCCCTGTGATGGTGTGGGCGACATTGTAATGTTCGACACAGATGGCCTCTCCGAGTCGCAGTGGACAGAGGCGATGCGAGAGGGATTCAACGACACGCAGCTACTCCTCGTCCGAGGAGATGAGCGGACTGACCTCGGACGAGGAGATAAAGGGAGAGGCAGTGGCCGAGGTGACCGGAGTCTCTGAAGCTTGCAAGCGTGTGGAGATGCGGAGGAAGTTCGAGTCGGCCATGGACGACGAGCCGTGATCGGCTGTTGCAGTGTGCGGTGAGGTGACAACGGCGTGGTCTGCCGACGAGAGCGAAGTGGAGATCGAGTCGATCGAGTAGTACGAGCAGGCCGAGGACGAGCCGGCACCCGAGTGTTCTCTGCGGCTTGCGTCTGGACCCTCTGCTGAGTTTTGGGCCGAGTTGGGGGCGGAGCGGTGGTGGTGATGGTGGTGGTGGTGCTTGCGGCGTGGAGTGGACGGCGTGGGACGGTCATCGTTGTCGTCGAGCAGCTCGTCGTAGGAAATCCACGACGATGACGACCACGAACCGGTCTTGTGGTAGTGCTTGTGGTGGTGGTGGCGCTTGTGGACTTCGGCACCGGACGACTCGGAGATGCTGGACGAGGACCACGAACCCGAGGCCCGCTTGGCGTGGTGGTGGTGGTAGTGGCGGCGGTGTGGGCGGGAGCCCTTGACGCCAAGGCCCGAGCCCGAGGCTGACGACGAGACCGAGACCGACCACGAGCCCTCAAAGAGAGCCTCATCCGAGGTCGACATGGCAACTGGCGCAAGGTCGACAATCTCGTTGAGCTTGGGCTGCGACATGGCGCGGGCGCGAAGAAACTTGGGCAGCGACACGCCCGACGCATTGGCCTCGCCGTCGTCGTCGGAATCACCATCGAGCGAGTACATGGACGAGCCGCGGGCGTTTCGAGACGAGTCGAGGCTCACGCCCTCATCGTAGAGTGCGCGGACCGGCGGCGATGCCGAGGTAGGCGAGCCGTCGCTGGCGAGCGCACGCGAGGTCGTGCGCTCTTGGGCGCCCAAGGGCGTGGTCGGCGCCGAGTTTGGCAGCTGGGCGGCAGCGTCGACGCGCGACTTTTTGCGGGACGATCCGGCGTCGAGGACGCGATTGGGAGGCGGAGCCGAGGCGGCGACGGGCGAGGCCGGCGGTGAGGTGAGCGAAGTGGGCGCGTCCGGCGGGAGCGAGCCGCGGCGGCGACCCGAGGCCTTCTTGCGGCGGCGGCGGCGGGGGAGGCCCGACGCGTTCTTGACCAGCCACGGGTGAGCCTTGACACCGGCAATGTCGATGCGCGCCTGTGGATCGACCTCAAACATGCGAGCGAGCAGGTCGTGGAGCTCGGGAGAGACCGAGTCCGGGACGGTGTACGCAGCCTCTCGGATGGCGTCGAGGACTTCGTCGACGTTGGCGCCGTTGAAGGGGAACGTGCCGCAGACCATCGAGTAGATAACAACGCCGAGGCTCCAGATGTCGACCGGGAGGCCCGAGTAGCCCTCGCCACCGCCAAACATGACTTCGGGCGCGGCGTAGAAGAGGGTGCCGACGGCAGCAGAGAGGTGGTTCGGATCGCCGGCCTCGGTGACGGTAAAAGCACCGTAGCCAAAGTCGGTAAGTGTGACTTTGGAAAAGGTCTCGTCGCAGAGAATGTTCTCCAGCTTGAGGTCGCGGTGGGCAATGCCCTTGGAGTGGACGTACGCCAGCGCAGACACAATCTGCTTGACGATTTCGCGGGCGTAGCCCTCGGGCATGGCGCCGTGCTTGTTGACGACCGAGAAGACTTCGCCACCCTTGTAGAAGCGCATGACCAGATGCAGGGCCTTGGTTCCATCGATGACCTCAAGCAGCTTGACAATGTGCGGGTGGTCGAGCTCGGTGAGGATGGTGATCTCTTGGTATACGCGGGCAAGGAGCTCAGGCTTGAGGGCGGTCTTGGAGATGGTCTTGATGGCGACGACGGCGCCCGAGACGCGATGAACGGCCCGATGGACAAGCGAGGTGGCGCCCTCTCCGATGAGGTCGACCAGCTTGTAGTCGCCCACATAGTGGTGCTTGTTGTGGTGCTTTGCAGCAATCTTCTTCCTTCTCCGCTTGCCCGTCCGCTTCCTCCGCTTGCCCTTCTTGCCCTTCTTCTTGCCCTTGTCCTTCCCACAACTGCGGCCAGGCTCTTCCGAGCCACTCGCCTCGGACGTCCGCGTGTTGTCCGAGTCATCATCGCGATGGTGCCCGTGGCCCAGCCCCAAGCCCAGACTGTCACCAAAGCCACCGCCATGCCCCTGCCCGGGGCCCTGACCACTACCATGCCCCAGCCCACACTCTCCGCTCTCTCGGGCAGCAGCTCTTGCAATGGCCGCCGCCGCCTGCGCCTTTGCCGTAGCCGAGTCCAGCACAGACGCCGTGCGGATGGGCGATCGTGGTGCAGCACTCATATATATATCTGTGTGTGTATGTGTGTGTGTTGTGGGGGGGGGGGGGGGGGGGGGGGGGTAAGGGGGTGAGGGGGGGTGAGTGTGTGTGTGTTGGTGGGGGTGCGCGTCACGTGTGGCGGGGGAGGAGGGGGAGGAGGGAGGGGGAGGGAGGGGTTGGTGACAGTGTGCGTACGTACGTGTGCGTATGTATGTATGTATATGTGTGTGTATATGTATGTGTGTGTGTGTGTGTGTGTGTGTGTGTGTGATGTGTGTGTGTGTGTGTGTTGGTGGCGTGTGTGCGGTGGGTGGGGTGGTGGCTGCCTTGGCCACCATGTTGTGCTGCCTTCTGCAGGTGGTTGGTCCCT